CACAGGCCTGCAGCAGATTTCTCTAAGGCCAAGGGGGGAAAGGAAGAGAAGAGTTTGTGTTGTGCTTATGGGGACAGGGCACAGTAATGCACTATGCCTAAATACCATAGTTCCTGGTGGCAACTGAATTTTAAAATATGAACTTTTTAATGGGCATTTTTATTTTTAGCAAAAATGCATTTCTGTATAACTTGTTTTAACTGTATACGCATATATACATATTTAACACATCAACAGTACAAGAGGAGCTCAATTAAAAGCTTTACAAGTAGAAGATAAATATATTTCAATTTATTTTACATAATGAAAGTAGTGTACAACCAGAAACTGCTTTAGATGCATATATAGGTTCTCACCCTTGTCCCATCCTTGTCATACTTTTAGGGCTTTCCCACACTTTTTGGAGGTATGTAGAGCTTTTGTTCAGGAATCTGGAAATGGCCTATCATGTTATTCTCTTCTGTACAATTAGAAGTAACAGCATCACCTTCAGCACTATCTCCAAATTCATACAAAAATCAAACAAATCACCCAAAAAAGACCAATTTCTGCTCCCATAACTCTTATTCCAGCCACTTTGTCAGGTGTGTGGGCGTTTGAATAGCTGCTGAATGTTTTGAGCAGGCATCACTGCTAGCCATCAAACAGCAATACAGTAAAACTTAATTGCATATTTATTACAGCTATATGTCCAGGAAATGGGTCTAATAAGGGTCAAAAAGAGTACTTCATCCATCTGTTGATCAAGGGAACGATGCTATTCTACCCTTAGTTCAGGACAATTCCATGGCTATTTCATAACACTATTATATATTTACTTTAGATTGAAATTCATTTTGTTCCTGGTTTCCTACACTACATCAGAGCTGTCTCTGAGGGTTCTAGTCTTGCTTGCTATTTAAAAGAGATGCCTGTACATGGTCCTATTTAAATTAAGATTCAAAGGGGGAAGGGAATGGGCTGACATGGATTTCTCCAAAACTACAGGTGTATATCACCCATTTCCAATAGCAAACAGATCCAGGAGCACATTAAAGGAACTGAAGAGCATCATGTTCGTAGGCCCTGTATGTGTCACACACATTAGCCATGCACTCCTCTTTGACAGTGATTGCAGACCAACATGTTTCTTGCTTGTAATGCAAAGTCCTTAATATCAAGACTAAAACAGTTTAAAGATCTCCAAGTTACTCTTATTTAGCAAACACCACTCAAAAGCAGCCTTCATGTGACAATTTAACCCATTGCTGTTAGCATACAGCATCCGCCTCCACCTTCCAGTTCCTTGCGACATGCATCTTCTCCAACCCAGAACTGCTACACCAGCGATGTGGCTAATCTGCTTGGAGATTCTCTGCATGATGAGGAAATAGGAACAGGAACCCCACAGGATGTATCCAGTAATGAAAAGGCTTGTCGAGATTTCAAAGGAGAAATTGAAAAAGTGCAAACAAGGACAAGTCATCCGAATAGAAGCTCTCTGTTGTTAGAAAATATCTCTACTGCTTGAAGTACTAGAGTGCCATTTTAAATTAGTGGATGAATCCTAGTTTGCTTTATTTCTCATAGGCACCAGCCCTATTCATATATTACTCGAGAGGGAGCTCATGCTTTGAAGCAAGAACTAGAATACAGTGGTACCTCGAGTTACATACGCTTCAGGTTACAAGCGCTTCAGGTTACAGACTCTGCTAACCCAGAAATATTACCTTGGGTTAAGAACTTTGCTTCAGGATGAGAACAGAAATTGTGCTCCAGCGGCGCGGCAGCAGCAGGAGGCCCCATTAGCTAAAGTGGTGCTTCAGGTTAAGAACAGTTTCAGGTTAAGTACGGACCTCTGGAACGAATTAAGTACTTAACCTGAGGTACCACTGTATGCTTCCAGGCACATCTTTGATGTTGCATCCCTGGGCAACTTCACCCCTCCAATGTCTTCACACTGAATGTGGTTCACTCCAAAGATTGTCTGCGTGTTGAGTATGGCTGCATAAGTCTTTTGTTCATGTGACGCTTCTGTGCATTAACAGCTGCTTTTCATGACAAATGTGTGGATATCAAAGGATGGTTATTGCAGGAACCTTACATTGTAGGTAGCAGCACCACTCCTGCTTCAAGCTGTAAATGCTATGAGTAACATGTGAATAGGGGCAATATGTCTGCAAAACTTACATTCTCCTTACAGCATGTTTTCCAGCTACAGGACCAACCGGGAAATTTAGTCACTGCACTTCATTTTAGAAACACCATATTTCATTGCGTTCAGTTTGCAACATTTATAAGCAGTTCTATTTTCACTACAGACTTTTTAGATTTGTTTACTTGGTATATTGAAAAGAGAATGTTGAGTACTTTTCATTTATCTGCCTTTGCCTGAGAAGTTACCAATCAATAAGCATCCACTGTTTTGATTTGAAATCATAATTAAGCTAGGCAAAATGTGCTGTTGCCAATAATCTACAGTGTATTTTGGATCTCATTATATAATATAAAGGAATGACAGCAGATAGTTTATTACCTGCTAAAATTTCATCTCTTTCCCCACTCCCTTCCAACAGTGACAGTGGGAAATTGAGTTTTTTTTAAACAACAACCTAAACGTCCCACTCCCAATGTAATAATTTTTAACTCAGAAGTGAAAAGATGAAACTCATGCAAACATTTAATAGAGAACATTAACCGACTGTCAAGGAAATTCTTGACCACTGCCCAATTACTTCTTTAAAACTAAGCAGCCTATCTCAAATTCTCAATATTAAACAAAACAGTCTCCAGCAATATGTCTGTTTTTCTTCAAATGCATTGCATATAAATGTAAAAGGTGAGATCTTGATTAATTAAGATATTTAAGTTCCTCTTTAGAGATCAAGCATAATTTCTTAAAGGAAATTAGTTCCAAACTGGCTATTGTTTACAAAACTGGGCAGCTTTCCCCATTGGACAGTGAATAAGTCTTGTTGAATTCAGTAGGCTTTGCTTTTGAGTGCAGGTGCCTAGAATTGCACTACAAATGCCTATTAATAATGGAATGCATATGTAGTAATTAATTATTCTGGCCAAAGTTTATAATTTCCTTCTTAGGTTTATGTGATCTTAATCAGCCTTTTTATATTAGCAGGAAGGCTTTGCACAGCTTTTTGTAAATAAAAGAAGATTCAGTTGCTGAATTCTTACCAATTCCCATTGGATTACACCTGTATAAACAAAGTCAGAGTATATTCTATTACTCACTGTTGGTGAAACACAAATGGAGTAACAGCAGATATTTCTAGCTTTGCTCCTGACCAACACCTGCTCACTGTATCAGGCAGCTTAAAATCAATAGGCAGATGGTAAATGGAGATGGATAGAACTTTACAGCATTAGTCCTTCCCGCACTTATTCATGTAAGCAGGTCTATCAGATTGAGCTCTAAGGTATTGTTATGAATCCCTCTTGCTGTACTGCTGCATGCTGGCATTTAATTAGGTCCGTACACATATTTGGGCTTTAACTAGATGTGGCTCTGCCACATGGTTGTAAAGCAGGGAGTGATGTAAAGCAGAGGAGTATCAAGTGGGTGAGGGGTGCCAAATCCTTGCCCTGCCTGCCACTTTAATCCTAACAACCCCACCAACTAGCCACATTTCTCCTGGCAAGGCCCTTGAGGCTGATAGTAAGCTCAGCTGAAAGAAACAGGCAGAGGAGACTGGAGTTAAATCTAGCAGTGGGTGGAGGAACTTCTCCCACCCACAGTGCTTCCCCTTTAGATCACCTCTTCCACACCCTGTGTTTTGGCTGTGGCACATCCCATATTGTAAGGTAGCCTTTGCCAACCCTCCAGGTGTTTCCGACTGCCAAATCCCATCAGCCCCATCCTTCATGGCTGTGTCAGATGGTGCTGATGAGAATTTCAGTAAGCCATCTGAATGGCACTGGGTTGTAAGACATGCGTGTGTTACCAATCTCCAGGACCCCAAATGTGAGGATTTATTTTATGTGCAATGCTGTTTACTCTCTGGGCCTTGTACAGCTATACATTTCTTTGCAACCTACTCCTCTTGTTTTATCACACAGAGGGTACCTCATTAATATAGCTCCGTATTATTATGATTGTAAATATTCATGCAATGGAATTATTAATTAGAATAATAAGTCTCCTGTGTGCCTTTCTAAAAGTCACACTATTACTTTACAAATTATTCACTCTGTACAGAATGTGCAATTGCACAATTAATGAAGAAGGCAATTTCTCTAAGGACACAGAGCTTGTGAGGGTGCCACTAATCCTATTAAAAAGTGATGTCTATAACAGTTTTTCTTAATGTTATGCTTCCAAATGCAAAAAAAACCAAAAAAACAAGAAACTTTGGAATAGAAGAACTCAACTGAATACTGTCAGCATAAGTAACATCAGTTTGTATAGCTATTGCTTTCAAGTTAACCCTTGAGATTACTTATATGTGAAATAAATTGGAGAGGGAGGTTATTTTCTCTGAAACTAATGGTGAAGAAAGCATATTCTATACTAGCTGGTCATTATAGGAACAATTGGTGCCTGTTTTTCTGATTTTCCTATTTCCTTCCTTTCATTTCCCTTGTATGTCAAAATTTTTGCCCAGGCAGGAGCATTATGTGACCCATGAGAGCAGCAAAATACAATGTTGATGGGATAAAATCAGACCAAATCTTTATTGACAGCAGCAGGCAGGGCAAGTGTTGACATGGCATTGGGTACCAGGATCAGTTTAGCCCTGTGGTGGCTCTAACCTGAGGGTGGGCGGGCGGGAAGCTCTCAAAGCAAACTGTCCCTGAGCTCCAGGGGAAGCAGCCTTATAAAGGCTTTCCCCTCCCCTCTGCAGCAAGGGCTCATGGGGCAGGTTTTTCCCATGAGCCCATCACACATAGAAGATACTGGGCAAAACCTTCCCCAGTAAGAGCAGAACACAGACACTGTAAATAAATAATGTTTAAATAGGAAAAACTACTATGACACAAATAAACTAGAATGATTTCCTAACTATAGGGGCTTGAGGAGCAGCAGAAGTTTGAGAAACGGTGTCCTTTAAGTATACACACAAGCCAACTATTTAACTATAGTTCAAGTTAGGAATTATGTTAACAAAAGCAAGACTGTTTTTAATATCAGCAGAGTGGCTACCCAGATGCCAGTGGGAAGCCTACAGGCAGTGCATGATCACAACAGCACTCTCAATTTGTGTTTCACAGCAACTGGTATTAAGAAATACATTGTCTCCAATACTGAAGGTAATATACAGACATATTGACTAGTAGTTATTGATAGCCTGATATTCCATGACTTTGTATAATCCCATTTTAAAGCCATCCATGTCAGTCACCATCACATCACGACAACTTTGGATTCCATATATGCTGTGTGAATAACTACTTCCTTCTTTCTCCTGTTGCCAGAAACCTATGGCTATAAGCAAGATTACCAATGCAGAATAGCAACTTACTTTGCAACAGAGGTTTTAGTGAGAGGTTAACCTCTACTCCAAACCAAAGGCAAACAACATATGCTGTTCAAGATGAATATTTAAATATTAATACTTTTGCAATAGGAAGTTAGGAAATGTTTGAGTTTGGAGGAAGAATTTTCTTTGATTTCAGCTGATAACATGGGACTAAAGTTTACAAGATATGGGGTGGGACCAAAGCTACACAAGAAAACACCAAGACTTGTGTGTGCAAAGTGAGTAGTGGGTTTGTGTGTGTGCTTCTTGTTCAAAGAAAAGTAAAACCATCCAACATGTCACCAGCTACTCCTTAATTCTGCGCTGAGTTTCAAAAACAGTTGGCCATTTGGCTTTTGTCCATAGCAAACAGAATTCCAAAGCTGTCTGAGGCATACACCACTCATTACTTGGTTCTTAAGCTTCTGGGCATAATTCCCAAATTTCCAGACTGGAAATAACCAAAGTCTTGGTAGCTGTCATTTTTAAAAGAAACTGTTAAGACTGGGAAATAATCCATATGCCTAATGAAAGCATTTGTTCTTAAGATGCTTTATCACAAACACAGGGAAGATGCTAACCTCCCTTATGGTCCAACCCTATAAGCTTCTGTGCTTTTAAGTATTAGGCAGAAGGACAGCTGCATTGAAGCAACACAGGTTTTGCTGCTGGGCTTGTGGCATGAGATAGGGCATGGTAGGACTGAGGCTAGGATTGGAGACAATAAGCTCCATCTTCTTAAAGGCTTACCAGTCATCAATAAAGTGTTGCCAATAATTCAGCTGAATCAGCACAATCCAGTGTATCCAATATAATGTGTTTGTGCTGATTTGCAGCTGAGAAAGAATACAGCACCCTGCCCAAGTGACCTCATGCAGGATGCTGCTGTGGCTGTGTCGGCACCGTTCATTCAGAGAGTGCTTTTCTGTAAATACATTGCTGGGTTCATCTAAAGTAGGAGTAAGGAAAGTGGTGCTCTTCCGACAGGGTTGAACTCCAAATCCCACCCACCAAAGGAAACATGGTCAATGGTTAGGGATTATGAGAGCTGTAGTTCAACAACATATGGAAGGCATCACATTAGCTACCCCTGGTATAAAAGAACAGGAAGCCCATCCATATCAGCAAGAACTAAAAAGGTAAATAGAGTGTACATAGTTTTGAACTTGGTAGTGTTCTCAATAAAACAAAAACAGATATTAACAAGGGATGGAGTAATTTTGCACTCACATTTTTTACTCCTTTCTTTTTTTAGACCCAATACACACAATACAGACATTATCTCTCTCTCTTTTTTAGCTGTCTTGAACATTTTTAAACAAATGTTCATTTACACTACAGTACAAATCATCAGTGTTAAAAACTGATCCCTTCCCTTGTATGATAAAGGGAATTTCAGATTACATTGACTCTATTCTCATAGGAGAGCATGCACTTTGTTCCACAAAGGTTCCATAGCTTCTCCTTTCAAGAATGTGGCCTGAGTCCACAGTACCAGATAACCACACATAAAAATATTGACACTACAAAACAGTTCCCTCCACAGTTCATTATTTCTCCATGTTGCCTAGGAAGGTGAACACACACACATTTCCTTGACTGATGAAGAAGCTGGTTGCTTGGCCTCTCTGCTACTTTCATCTGCAGAAGATCATGATGTGGCACTCCCCTCTGATGGAACAACTTCCAAGATGATTTGCAATGTTAACGTTGTCTTGTCTATAAAGGACAAAAATAGAGGAGACTTTTTGAAAGGTTCTATGAAAGGCCATTTGTAAGATTAATCTTGCATGCAACAGAGGGTTGGATCTCTGGACTAACAGTGCAATCTTAACCATGTCTACTCAGAAGTTGAATCCTACTGAATTCAATAGGGTTTATTTCCAAAGAAATTGAGGTTAGGATTGCAGCCTAAATTAGATGAATTTAGGCTCCCATTGATTTGAATGGCACATTCGGATTAACTTGCTCCATTGATTTCAATGGGACCTAAAGTAAACTAACTTCAGTCCAGTTCTCACAGAGTGCTAAGCCAAACCTTAGTTTAGCATGAACATAAAAATTTGGAGGCTCCTGGAGAGCAGACTTAGGCCACTTTATTCGTCCTCCAGTACTACCGCAGCTGCTCTAGTAAAGGTAAAGGGTAAAGGGACCCCGACCATTAGGCCCAGTCGTGAATGACTCTGGGTTGTGGCGCTTATCTCGCTTTACTGGCCAAGGGAGTCGGCGTACAGCTTCCAGGTCATGTGGCCAGCATGACTAAGCCGCTTCTGACAAACCAGAGCAGCACACGGAACCACCATTTACCTTCCCTCCCTACCTATTTATCTACTTGCACTTCATGCTTTTGAACTGCTAGGTTGGCAGGAGCAGGGACCAAGCAACGGGAGCTCACCCCATCGCTGGGATTCAAACCGCCAACCTTCTGATCGGCAAGCCCAAGAGGCTCAGTGGTTTAACTCACAGCACCACTACTATGAGCTAAACTATAGCTCACATGTTTTCCAAACCCAGGTTCACCCAGGTCTTTGGATGCAACTCAGTGTAACATTATATTGTAACATTATATTAGCTTGTTAGAGCACTGTTAAAGTGCAGTCAATCTTCCAGTCACTGAGATAGAAAAGCATACAATTCATGTACAGTAGCTTAGACCCTCAAGGACATGAAGTCTAGACTGAGACACAAACTGAGCATCCATCCTGATATCCTTTGATAATCTCATCCAGTACCAAACTACATTTAACAAAGCATTGCATATTTAAGTAAACAATAACCATTATATTTCAATTAAAATTGATTACATAGTTTAACAAACTACAGTTCTCCAGGCATTAATCATATACGGTGAAATACACTAATATCTGTAAATATTATCTTAGCCAGGTTTGCAATGCATGTCTGTATCATTTACAGGTATTTGTATTTTCTCGTGCCAGAGAAAACAATAGGCTTCTTTTTAAGAGCTCAAAGAATCAGCTGCATTGCCACAGCAAGCAGAAATCAAGTCTCTCCAGTAACTGCCTGGAAGGGAATGTTTTCTTTTTGCTCGCATAAAATGGTTCAATACTGGCATCCTGTGGCCACAATGATTCATAAAAACATGATCCAAAAGCTTTGGGAATGTTGACTATCGAGAGAAAGATATTGCTTCCATTGCCTTATTCTCAGGCAGAGAAAAATAAACTGCTATAGACATCAGTTTTAATAGCAGGAAAGATTCCTACAGAATGTCATGTGCATTTTAATTTTATATTCCTTTTACTCATGGCACTGTTTTTAAGTGATCTAATTTTATCATGGTTAAGAAGACAGATCATTATTCTCAAATCTGCACTGCCGAGTCAAATTATTTCACTGATAACTATTTTGCTGTGTTCTGCTGCTAAGCTACAAGTGGAATTACAGTGGTACCTCGGGTTACATACGCTTCAGGTTACATATGCTTCAGGTTACAGACTCCGCTAACCCAGAAATATTACCTGCGGTTAAGAACTTTGCTTCAGGATGAGAACAAAAATCACGCAGCCGCCGCCGCCGCCGTGGCACGGCAGCAGCGGGAGGCCCCATTAGCTAAAGTGGTGCTTCAGGTTAAGAACAGTTTCAGGTTAAGAACGGACCTCCGGAATGAATTAAGTACGTAACCAGGGGTACCACTGTATCTATCTTATAACATTCTTGTTCTGCTTTTATGTAACTAGATAATTGAAAAAGATCCAGTACACCTTGAAGTAGTGCAGTAAATTGAGAAGTAGAAAAGTTCATTTTTCAAGTCAAGTCGTGAGAAGGCTGCCAACTTCAGAAGAAACTCTGTTATACTAGCATATACACTTAAAACAAAAGCAAACTTTGTGTTTTCAGTATAGGGATGGCTAATTTGATTCTGGGTGAGAAAGAAAAACAGGCTAAGTGTGGATTTTTTACAGGTGAAAAGTGCCTTTGAGAAATGGTGGCTGACACTTGCCTTCTGCCTTGCTGGGAATCACAAGCAGGGAAAGTGCTACTGCCTTCAGGTCTTTCTTGTGGGTTTCCCATAGGCATCAGGTTGGCCACTGTGAGAATAGGATGCTCCACTATGGGCCATTGGACTAATTCAGCAGGCACTTCTTATGCTTAAGTAAAATTAATACTTATTTTTTGTGGTGCTATCTTTAGCACCTAGGTTTGGGTCATAAATCAGCCCTGAATTTGCACAAATTACTTGTGGTATTTAGTACTAATCATGGAAATATTGGCTGCTGTTGACATCTCCTAGTAGTTGATCAATACTGATCAGAGATTAATTGCATTTGCTTTACAGCTGAACAGCTCTCTTTAACACTGATCAAACTCAACCAAAATTCAGATGTCAATACATGGGACAATGACAGAAACAAACTGGGTCAAAGTACAGTAGGCTATTTTCCAGACAGATAGAGATAGTCCATGATAAGTGCCAGTAAGGTAAAATAAAAGTTCAGTATCATTTACTGCTTGACCAGAGAGCATGGCCCCATGGCTTTTGTTAGATATATCCTTACTTGGGGAATTTGGGGGGAGATTCAGTAATTTGAAACAGCTTTTGTTCAAAGAGTATTACTTCAAGTATTGAGTTCTACTGGTACAGAATAACTGCTTAATAAATTGGCATTCACATTAAAAATAATGAGGTAGATGCCTTACTGTGGCAATGAAACTAGTGGATACAATGCCTCCAAAAAAAATTAAAACTTGCAGTTTTCAGAGATGCTGTATGGTCTAACGCTGAATGTACAACAAAGGGAATGATTTCCTATTGGCGTTTACTCACCTGACAGCCGTCTAAACCACGTTGGCTTCTTGTCCCATATGATAAAGAGGTAGTAGGCAGGGACGCCAGTCAGTGTAATTGCAAAGCCAATGCCAGTATTGACAGGGTCAGCATAAAGTGACAGTGCAACCATGAAGAGGCAGGTGAAAGAAAACAGAGCAGGAATAAAGAGCGGCACCTGGAACACACACCAAAAGACGTTATTGCAATACCCTGACCTTGGCTATTGAATGACGCTGGTATTTAATGTTCCATGACATATAAATCGGATAAAACACAGGGGCACACTGCAAGTCTCATAGAAATACAGGTGTTCAGGACAGGCACTGCAAATACAAGTAGCTAAAGAGAGCAAATTAAATGCACTTTTATGTAATAGGCATCCCAACAGCTGCTTAATTACCCACTCAGACAAACACTACATTGCTATGCACAGTCTTTAAATTGGAAGTCTTGTAAATGCATTTTCTAGTACTGAGTCCCTTTCTCAAGCTTCTATTGGAGTAGAAGGCAGGAGCAACTGCAGCAAAGATGGCGCCTTTTGTAATTGCTCATTAGAATCAATTTTACAATGAAGGAAGGTGCCTAGGTTACGGGCTGCCTTTTAAAACCATTAAGTACATATTGATTTTCTTTCCCAAGTACAATAAATAACCTGGCAAGAGACTGCCAAATTAAATATCATTTTGGACATGGGCATTGATGGCTGACAGCATTATGCAGCCATCATAAACTTGGGAAAATATGTGCTTCTGTCATCACAACTGATAACATAATCTGAGATGATTTTAAAAGCAAGAAAATGCTACAATATGAGTAACAGCTTCGGTTTCCAACAGCGATGTCTGTCACAACCACAAAAACCAATTAACAATAAAATCCAAGTAAACTGTCAAAAAATCCAAACCAAAATTTAATTGGGGCGGAGGGGGATAGCAACAGCGAGGAACAACATAAAACTATCATCCATCAAATGCTCAGGGCAGTAAGGCAGTTTTAAGTTGGTGTTGGACTACAGGAGCTACCATTTGGCAAACTGAGGCAACTGCCTCAGGCAACGGATGTGGAGGGGTGGAAGACTGCAACTCCTACTGGCTTGTTGTTTGCCTCTGCTGGCCTGGCTGACGCAGCAACTGCCCAGCAAGGCTCTCTGACTCCACCTCCTCTGACTCTCATAGGAAGGACCAAGGTGATCTTTCCACAAAGCATTCTGGGTAGGGTGGCTGTGATATTACTAGTGCTGCCCCTGCAGTTTGCTGCAGCAGGGACAAATGATGTCTAGAATTAGAGAGGCAGTGGCAAAGCCAGTCCCACAGCCACACTTCCCAGAATGCTCCACCTTGAGGAAGCACCCTTTTGGACCTTCCTAGCGCAAGGCTGGGAGAGAGGAGGTGGGGCGCCTCGCTAGCGCTAGCAGTGCTGCTAGAGCAACAGGGAAATTAACGTTGCTGAGGAAATAAATGAGAGTGGGAGCAGCGCTGCTATTGCCATGAAAAGGAGGGGGAGTGAGGAACGCAGCAGCAGGTGTTGCAATCTCTTGCACCCGCCCTGGTTAGTGCCAAATAAATATTTTTGTGAAGGCGTTGCTCAACAGCTGACCTTATTCCTAGTCGCCACCCACTGAAAAGACCCAGAAAAAGGCCTTAGAAATCGATCTCATAGAATGGGCAAGTTTGTATAGAAGTAAGTGCGTGACTACAAAATATATTTCCATTAAAATGCCCATGGGGAAGAGGAGGCACACATGGTATAAACATGGCATTTATGTAAAACAGTCATATTCCTGAGGTTACCTTGAAAGGACGAGGCATCTCAGGGCGCTTATATCGGAGGTAAATCATCCCAGCGACTGCCAAGCCTATAAAAAGCCACCGGGCAAAACTGAGGAAGTTCAGGAGGCTGTAGAGATCACTGGAGAAGAGCATGATCATTGTCAGAGGGTGCTGCAAAATAAATTAAAAGGAGAAGTGTGCTTTATTGCCCAAACTGTTATTGCCGTATTTCCTTATATTAACTTTGTGGTGCCCCCATAGCTCTTAGCACACTACATCAGGGGTGGGGAACTTCCAGCCCTTCTTGGCCTACTAGTGGTCCAATTTGACCCACAAAGCCTTTTCCCCAAAATTACGCCCACCTGCCCATCAGCAAACCCAACTCATTATGCCAGCTGATGGATGGGAGGACAAAGTTAAATCCGGTGTTGGGTAGGTTACCAAAAAAATTGATTCAGTACAGTGGAAGCTTGGTTCTCAAACACCTTGGTACTTGAACATTTCAGCTCCCAAACACTGAAAGCCCAGAAGTAAATGTTCCAGTTTTTGAACGTTTTTCGGAAGCCAAACATCCAATGTGGCTGTCAGCTATTGTTTCCAGGGCGCCTGTGCCAATCGGAAGCTGCACCTTGATTTTTGAATGTTTTGGAAGTCAAACGGACTTCCGGAACGGATTACATTTGAGAACCAAGGTACCACTATATTTAAAAACAGTTAAAACAATTTACCTTAACAGGAATTGGGCGGGTACTGAAAAAAACATATCTCATATGTCAATGGCTAAGGTAAAGAAGTGTGCCTTTAGCATTCGCTGAAAGCTATATAGTGATTTGTGGAGAGGGAATTCAACAACCTTGGGGCTGCCCCCGAGAATGCCCTCTCCTAGGCTACAAATTATGTGATTTAGAAAGCAGCATTGTTTCCATTGTTCCTGTTGTGAGGATGTTTCTGTGATAAAGATGACACAGATAATGGAAAATTCAGAATCACAACCATATGAATTGCACATGAATTGCATTGTAAAAATCCACATGTCATCTTACTTCAACAGGACCAGAGGAGATAAATATGTTTATATGGGAATTGGTGTTATTGTTTCTAAAGAACTTGTATCCAAGCCAGCACACTAAGAAGTACAGCTTTGGATTCTCCAAAACAAAAATATGAAAAAAGCATAGAAATCAGAAAACAAACATTATTTTATAACCTGGAACCAGTGCCCTGAAGGCAGGTGGCAATACCAATCTATCTATTACTGTTGTTTGCATTTTCTCTGCAAGATACCTGTAATGTGACTTCAGGGTCTTACCAGACAGTACACTAGTGTGTAGCTTTTATGTAGAATTTTATTACTCTGCATCCCTATCTAGGAAGATTCATTCCATTGAGAGGAGCTTAGCTAATCACTCTCTTTCAACCTTTCAAATAAAACATAATGAGGTGTGATTTAGGCACCAGCCAGCGAGAGTTAAATGCAACTAACAGAGAGTCAAAAGGAGGAGTCTCTAGAATAGATCACCTCTGCAATTACTTTCCACCCCTCACATGCATCTAAAGTATGAGATAGAAATAAATAACTGAGATTCAAGAAGTATTAAAATGGCATTTGAATCCTCCAGTGCAAATTCATGCCATGCAGCCTTGTACAGGGACATTTGTTTATAGGAATTACCAAAACAATGACAGCTGGTAAAGGAGTGTGCTTGCGAACATGAATCATGGACAGAATCTCAGGAAGGTGACCCTCGCGGGATGCGACGTAGAACATCCTGGTGGGAAAATAAATTTGGACAGCTTTTAAAGACACTCATTACCAAGATGAATGGAAGCAACTCACTAGAGGTGTAGAACACATTCAAAGTTATCCTCAGCAGTGCTGGGGTTTTTTTACTATGCAAGACAAGCATCAGAAGTTCTGATGTAAAAGAAATTTAGAAGCCTGGGAAATCAGCATGAACATTTCTACCTTCAGCCACTCTTAGTCAGTCTTCAAAAACAAGGGCCAGTTAGCATTGCTTCAGTTGTTGAAGAAGAAGAAGAAGAGTTTGGATTTGATATCTCGCTTTATCACTACCTGAAGGAGTCTCAAAGCGGCTAACATTCTCCTTTCCCTTCCTCCCTCACAACAAACACTCTGTGAGGTGAGTGGGGCTGAGAGACTTCAGAGAAGTGTGACTGGCCCAAGGTCACCCAGCAGCTGCATGTGGAGGAGCGGAGACGCGAACCCAGTTCCCCAGATTACAAGTCTACCACTCTTAACCACTACACCATACTGACTACTGAAAACTACAGTTTTCTTTTCTCTCCTTTGAGCTAAGCCACTATCACTGCAATATTACAGCAAATGGGGGGGGGGGGTTCCAACAGAAATTGCTGTTTAAATTCCATTGAAATGAATGGGAAGTGTGCAAGATTATAGCTGTATTCTTGCCCTGCCTCTATTCATTTCACTGAATTGTATTCAGTGGTATTGAAGTAAAGGAGAGGAAAATTCACTGCAAATGAATGCCATTATTTAATGTTGATTTCCCCCCTTTGAAGTAATATTCCCAGTTTTTCATGCTAAATTCAAATTTTATGACTTTACCCTCACCCCACATTTGACTCACCTGGAGACAGCAAAGATCCCACCATTCATAGATCCGAAGCAAGAGAGTGCAACAAAAATTGGGACAGCCAAGGAAAAACTTCCCAGTAAACGTTCAGCAAAAGTCTGCCAAAAGAGAAGGAAAGACATATCAACTTAATTGGTAGAATTCCTGAATACCTTCTCCCATTCTTCAGCTTTAAGGAGTTCATCCAGTAAACTTTGTTTTCCGTCATGATCAAGAAACTTATTCTGAAAATTTTACTCATTTGCATGATACATTCTACTATGACTTACCACTGCCACCGCTTGGGAAGCTAGCAGATCCTCGGGACTAATAGTTGTAAAATAGGCCACGTTGGTTAACACATAGCCAACTGTGACAATAACCATTGATGTGCAAATGGCAAGCGGTACATTTCTGAAAGACAGAAAGAAATTTACTGTTATCCATCTGCAGTCCAAAACTGAAGCAATCTGGTTGGCAAATATATTTGATGTATGTCACTGCACTTCCATTGTGACTGATGCTTTTATATACTGGAAAAATATTAAATACTGCAGGTCAAGCAACATATTTCAAACACCGTAATATGAATAATCAGGATTGCATAAATTGCAAACAAGACACAAATTCTGCCTTGGCTTTATTCGTAAATACTATTATCTGCCTGCTGTTGCTTACTCTGTAGAAAAGACCATACTGTAAGGAATTCTAACTGGCCTAATTAGCCATGCCATTTTGTTAATATGCAAAGATACGGAAGTCAAAGTTTTTCCTCAATACCTTTTTCTCTACAGGTAGCATAAGATTTGTTTCTGAGTCAGTGGGACACAGACACTCGAAAGAATAATCCTCAAGCTGTAGCTTCACGTTTATTTATGAGATCAAAGGGACTGGACCTGGGAAGCCAGGAATCATATCCGAGCTCAGCTATGGGCCATTGGGTTGCCTTAGGCAAATCATTAGCAGCTTCAGTTCACCTTCTGAAAAATGTTAATACTTATCTCAAACAGTTGCCTCGATGATGAATGAGAGGATGGCTCTAAAGCACTTGACACATTTAAAGTGCTTTATATAGATTATTAATAACACTACTCTCTCCCGGCAACTCAGTTGTGAATATTACTGGTTGGATGTAAAGTACAGCTCCAGTAAATTTCCAGCAAAAGATATGATTGGAAAAATCAGGCCCATGAGAAGTGTGTTTATAAGTGAGTAAGTGAGATCAATATATTCTAGAAATTCCAAAATTGACAGTCACCACAGAATTAAATATAAACTATATAAGGGGGAAATCAAAGATTTGTTTGTAGTATTCAGCACAATCTCACAGGTGGACCTCATAAGATACCATGGATAGCACTGAACAGAAGTAGAAAGACACACAAACAAGATGGCTATGATATTTCACACCCGACAAGCAGGATGATCCTGAATGAACACAATATAAGCTTTTCTTTTCTTTTTTGAGGAGGCACAACAGTTCACTAGAACTCCAAAAGACAGAATTCAAAATGCCCTATGTTAATGGCTTTGTAAAGTCACATTGCCATTTTGAGGACAGGCATTACAATACAAAAGGAAGGCATTACAATACAAAAATCATGCAATAAAAGCTAATGATCTGTGCCCTCAACAACCCGTCTGCAAAATCTACTTGATCCATCCAGACTGGCGCTTCTCCCATCACCTCTCGAACCCATAAAACAAAGTTGCACAGGTGTGTGAGTGCTGTTTCTGCTCATCATTCACCCCTGCATCCCGCCTCAACTGAGTTGAGGCCGAGACATTCTGTGGGAGTGGAAGATGGCATCCACAGCAGCCTCCTGGCATGGCACTTCTTCCCTCAGTTTGTGCTATACCATGATAAAACCAATCTGCACACACTAGAATTGTCAGATTACACCAAGCATAGGGAAACTCGGCCCTCCAGATGTTTTGAGACTACAGCTTCCATCATCCCTAGCTAACAGGACCAGTGGTCAGGGATGATGGGAATTGTAGTCTCAAAACATCTGGAGGGCCAAGTTTGCCTATGCCTGGATTATACCCTAGAAATTCTTCCTATGCTTTTAAAGCAGGGATGGGAAACATTTTTTGGTCAACCTTCCAGAGGCCGCATACCAGTGCTGGTCAGGGCCACATGTATGCCATCTTGGGTTCCAAGATGGTGAGCCCTTGAGCAGCCTCCAAAGCAGTCCTTCAAATAACCCAGTCCCAAAGATATTTAAGGTAGGCATTATTACCCTGTCAGCAATCTCAAGCTCAGCCAGGCCACCTTTTCAGCTCCATATCTTGGACTCTCTGCTCACATTTACAGCACTTATCAACCTTTAGAGAAAAAGCTTGGCGAGACACCTCTAGTACACATCTTAACACCATCTTCTCTAAGAGTAAAAGTGGATTTACAAAGCAACTGGGGAGAAAGCACTCTCAGACCTGCATGTATTTGGCAGGCAGAGTCCAGGCTCATTATGCTGAGTAGCACTAACCCCTGCTGACAGACGGGTGGGGTGGAAAGATAACGAGTCAGCAAGTGCCATTCATTACTCTCTGCTAAAAGACTGAGACTCTCTATGTCCCCAGAAGCCTTGAGCAGAATAAGAGGTTTCGTGACCTCTGAGGTATGAATGCTTTAATGTAAAAGTGGTACCTCGCCTGCCTTCTTTCACTCTCTCAATACGACCAAGTCCCTAAGGGGATGCAATCCATTAGCATGTAACACCAGCCAGTGTTACTTGTTAGATGGTGGCGTACAGCAAAACAAAAAACAAAAAAACTTTGACAAAAAGCAACTACTAATACTAATATGAAAGACCTGGTTTCCTGATTTCAGCAATGAGACGTTTTTATTTTCACCTTAAAAGTTATACTTCCCTTTCAATCACTGGGCAGTGCATTAGCCAACATCACAGCTCTGGTGCTAAAATACCATCTAGCACCTTTAAAAGACACCCTTTCTCTCACCAAGGTATTAAAATTGGCGAGGGTATGCTTTGTGTAATGACACAGTCATTTTAAACTAAAATTCCCAGCACCAATTACTGATTCATCAGTTAATTATTTGCTGTTAAATTCCTTTCCATGTCTCCAACAGCATTCATTGCAAGCAAGTAGCCGTGTCTGTTATCTTCCACACACCCTGAACAGGTACATGGGCATACAACAGAACATTTTCTTGGGGTACAAACTAAAGTCCCCAAAAGGAAACACTGAAATAGAAAGCATTTAAAAGAAAAATTACAAATGCAAAATGTCTGTAGATGATGATGGAGGGAGGGAGAGGTATATATACACACACACATAAACATCATAGGATTAATAGGAATTCAGTCAATCTCACCATAGTGGGGGAATCAGAATTGTAGAGTAGGAAGGAACAATGAGGATCATCTAGTCCAACCCACTGAAATGCCCAACATGGGGCTTGAACCCATGACCCTGAATTTAAGAGTCTCATGCACTGAGATCTCATTTAGGAAGACTGCAACCAGGTGTATGGACTGTCTGCTTAGTTTGACAGTTAGGTAATGCTGGCGGGCAATTGATGCTTCTTATGGGCCTTCAAACAGAACACTGTCTGCTGCAAAGCAGGAAGAAGAAGAAAGAGAGTTTGGATTTAATATCCCACTTTATCACTACCCGAAGGAGTCTCAAAGCAGCTAACATTCTCCTTTCCCTTCCTCCCCCCACAACAAACACTCTGTGAGGTGAGTGGGGCTGAGAGACTTCAGAGAAGTGTGAATAGCCCAAGGTCACCCAGCAGCTGCATTTGGAGGAGTGGGGACGCAAACCCGGTTCACCAGATTACGAGTCTACCGCTCTTAACCACTACACCACACTGGCTCTCTGTGACATGTGGCCACCCTATTGCTACCTTTCTGGCAGCTTTAGCATACCCCAAGGGAAAGTCTTGCCTTTCCTTGTTAACATAAAGCAATGCCCCATAGCCATTAAGCAATGGGATTGTAGTTCCTGTTTTTAAATTAAGCAGGTTTGGGATGATTACCCAGTAAAAATTACTGAATCAATCTACCATGTCAAAATAAAAGAAATCCAAAATAAATTGGGACAGTATCAACTGAGCTTTGCAGTAATGGCCAGAAGTTAACGTCACAGCTGAGTAAACCTTAATCAGCAAGCGTCTTGTGCTCTTTCACATAGCTACAATGACAGCAAATGAAGTCAGAGCCATTATTCTGTACTTCCAGACCATTTACAACTTTAGTATGTCAAAAAAAATTACCACCAGAGGCATTTCAAGATGTTTCTGTATAATATTTTCCTACAGGAACTTACATAAAGGATCTCAAGTATCTTTATTTTAAAGAATGAGGCAAGCATTCCTATGCACTGTGTATGTATGTGTATGGAAAAAGCAAACAAAGCCTTCTCCTCCCCCCCAAAATTTTGGGAAGAGCTGGTGGCAAAAAAAAAAAAAAACTTCTTTGCCAGGCCAATAAGTATGATATAATCCCTTGCATAATATAATCCCCTTTCAATTTCCCTTGCAGAGATTTCAGGAAGCTTCATATGCGACACGCAGGACACTGGCACCTACCAGTGTCATGTGTCCATACAAAAATAAATTATGATGGGTAGACATAAATTATTATGGATAGTCAGTCACATTCTTTATATTCTCTTGAGCACTTCTGGGTAGTACTCAAAACCATCCTCAATCTGGTGCATACATGGCCTGTATGTATAAACTCGGAGCAGGGCCTTCTGTGTAGCTGCCCCTTTTCTGGGGAACAGCATGCCAGTTGCGATGTGGCAGGTGCCCACTATCTGCATTTCCAGAACCAATTGAGAATGTATGGAGATCTGGATGAAAACAGAGCATATACTGGCTCTCTTCAAAGCCTGCTGCTCTGCCCGCACACATAATTTCAATCCATCATTCTATACTGCTTATTTACAGAAAAAGTGAGATTGCTCTCTGTTAACCTAAACTCTTTCCTCCTGCATTCTTCAACTCAGAGCATGCATTATTACAAAAGAAGCTATTTCAGTAGCTTCCCACCCTTTTTCTTAAGTAGTGTCCTTCCCCTTCACCTTTTGCAACAGTGAATTAAATGGAATATGATCACAAAGGACACAAGTGCCACCCTCCAGAATAATCTTGCACAAACAAGTTAGTTAGGAAGGCAAGGACTGTGCTTTTTATTTTAAAGATATGTATTTACCAGTACTCCTGACCCTTATTGATGCATATTTGAAATGCTAATGCATGTATTTCCTGTAATTTTTATTACAGTGGCCTTAGGCTATAAATGATGGTTACGTTGGTTATTATGAAAGTGTGAAAAGAAAAACATTTTGCTTTCCCTTCAGTCACTGTCAATACATTTCATTCCTAGAGTCAATGGGTTTTGAACGACAATGAATGTTTATGGCCTTGCAGCAGCTCATCCACTCTAAATTGAGGAGGCTGTGCAAAAAGCCGCTTCTCGCCCAACATGAACAAATACAGGGGAGAGGGAACAGCATTGCAGATTCTGTGCCAACTTCCAACTTCCATGAGTTCATTTGAATGTGTCAAGCTCAGGGGCAGAAAATGCCATCCTGCTTTCCATAGGCTCACTGAATGTGAACATGTCATATGAACAGATAGCAACACTCACAGGAGCCAACTTCTAGGGGCTGTGGGGGCCTTGCCCCCCAATAAAATATTTGAGGAGGCCGGGGGGGCCCAAAGTTGATGGGCATTGCCATTCAAATGGTGTGCATGCATTGCATCATGTGATTGATTATGTGGGACGGGACTTACCTCCCCCCAAAAAAATTTTTATTCAAGTTGGTACCCCTGGCAACACTAGGACAGAAGAAGTGCAAATAAAACTTTGACCCCAAACCTCTATGGCAGGGATGGGGGAACCAGTACCCTACTCTATGGAGCAGTGGAGTAAGAAGTACATCACAGCAATCGTAGTAATTGGCATCTTGATAGTAAGATAGATCTTATTATCCATTAATAATAATGGTTATACCTGGTCAGATCTGAGGAGGAGGCATTCCTGATCATATTGCAGACTGGCAGGATGCCTTCTTATTGCATCTTGAATGTGGCCCCGGTAGTGGTACCCACTATCTGGAATTGCCTTCCATGTGCTGTTTGTGAGGCATAAACAGTCTCAGGTTTCAAATGCCTCTTCGTTCAAGCTTTCCCTGGCTCATAAGGGTCATCTCTCCTCTCCATTCTGATTTGTTTCAATGTTTTGCTGATGGTTTTATTAAGAGATGTTCTGTTTTTGTTGATCTATTTCTTCATACTTTTGGTCGCAATACCAGCTTTTTTTAAAAAAAAAAAACCCAACATCGTAGATGTTTAAAATTAGATTCCATGAAGGGGATGGGAGGAAGTCTCGAAATTCGGAGAATCTCTTGACACAGATATGTTTTTACTAGTTTGTGTTTTTTTTTCAACTTTGTATTTGTAAAACCAATAAAAATGATTTCTAAAAAAAAAAACCCATCAACATGACCTTATTGTGTTTTATGTAACCCTCTTAGGGATTTTGCATATTGAGTGGTATACAAATATTATTAGTAAATAAATAAGACAAAGCAATTGAAAAATAAGAGGTAGAAATGGGACTAGAAATGCAATATTTTGTCTTTTCAACATACCAGAGGGCATTCCCATTGAAACACCATGACTAGGGATTTAAGTATTTCTTTCAAATTATCCATACCCCATGGGCACAGACTTAAGTGCACTCAGTGATATTTTGCCTTCAGTGGCTTATGGTATGCACTGTGATGGAAAGCTGAAATAAATTCATATATAAAGGGGGACAATCTGCATATAAAGGAGTAAGGGAATTTATTGTGGCAACTTTCCAAAATATTTTATTAAGGATGCATTAGAAATCCGTAACATTCAGACCATTAATCCAAACAGGATCAAGTGGTTCCAGCTTTTCTACACTGAACAGCCCCAAGACACATCTTCGAGCACAGATTTCCCAAGTCTTAAAAACAAATAAAAGTATGGTGGCACAATTACAAAAAGGATGAAGGAAGGAGTGAGAAATATTTTATTGCGCTAGATTCTCATGTGAATTTAGAATGATTAAATCTCTGAGCACCTGATTTATGAGCAAGAATTACAGTGCCCCCAGCCAAAATCATTTTAGTAGGGAGAGTGTTGGGGGTGAGAGAGAAAGAGAAGCTTACCGAAGTTTAATATCAAACTTACCGGCAGCATTATATGAACAGCGCTAGGCAATGAACTGGCATTCACTCTTGTGGACCTTAGAGGTAGAAATAAGGGCATTTTGAACCAGGGAAAGAACAGATTGGGTCTCACAGCACTGGGAAGCTGAGCCAAGAGAGACTGTATGCCACATATCAATAACATCACAGCCAGGGGAAAGGGATGGGAAGCATAGCAAAGGGAGGATGATGGTATTTAGAAATAAACTAGCCTGTCAGATTTCAATTTCCTGCCACTGTAATTATTGCAGCCTTTTGCCTGCAGATGAGCTTGTGACATAGACTGCTTTGCGGGTTGTGTTTATCGTGAAAATCTGCTTCAAATGTTTGTAGAGGACAAAACCCCAAACCTTTTCATTGCAATAGAAGAAGCTGGCTAGGCTGCTCAACCTGACAATTACTCTGATGGAGCTTCTGAAACTAGTAATGGGCATACAAAACATTTTGTTCAGATGTAGTACAGTGAGGAAAATGTTCCTAACAGTTCTCTCTCTCTTTAAAGCAGCCCTGTGTTTTAACAATAGATTTTGATGGCTCCAAAATACAATTCCTTGAGTTCATATAGGCAAAAACAAAATAGAATCACCATTTTCCAGTTTGCTATATTACACTCCATCATCGCTAACAGAGCTGCCAACAAAGATCACAAGGTGATTTTCTGCTGTATCTTGCCATGTGCATTGCAATCCTATACATGTCTACTCAATTAGAAGCCTCATTCATTTCAGTGAAACTCACAGACAAGTGTACATAGGATTGCAGCATAATAGTCCAGAATGCACTGAAATAGTATCATTCAAGAATTAATGGAACATAACACAGGGATGCAAAACCCGTGACCTTCCCCATGTTGCTAGAATACAACTCCTACTACTGATCACTGGCCTTGCTAGCAAGGCTAATGGGAGATGAAGCACAGCAGCATCTGCAGAGACACAGGTTTGCCATTATTAACCAATCAGGCTCATGGCCAAACTACATGTTGCATTTAGCATGTTTTTTAAAAAACTGTGCATAAGCTAATCCTTTTTATTTTGAAGAAAAGGCAGCTAAAGATGATCTAGCTTATCTGTGTGAAGAGAACAATGGAAGAGTTTTAAGAAGCAAGATGGAGAGGAAGATGGGGGGCAGAGTCTGTGAACTGAAAATATAGGGGGCTCAGGCATTTCTCTTTGCAGAACTGATATGGAACAGTGAGTTTACAGATGAGCAGGATTGAGAAGAGGAGGACAACAATGGAGAGAATGGGGAGACAGTAATTTTTATTTGTAACATGAATATAGGGAACAGGAAGACAGGGCTCCTATACCTTTAACAAGTGCATAGGAAAGGGCAATTTGATTCAGCAGGTGCAGACTTTCTCACTTGTGTGCCAAGCTACATCTGCCAAAAGGTTCATTTTCTATGCGTCTATAGTTTAAAGTTCAAAACACAAGTACTTAAATAAATAGGAAGGTCATCCTTTGCCCCTGAGCAGCCTACACTGGGACAGCTGCTTCAAGATCTACTAAATTAACACATTCATGAGAGCTATCAAATATGCCCATGATCAGTGCTTTTTTCCCCCCCAAAAAATAAAATGTTTAGGGGTACTCTCATTTTGACTCAAGAAAATCACCATTTCATAGTTGAAATTGGGAAAAATAAATACAGTAAATGGACAAAAGTACAAAGATTCACAAAATGTTGAGGGGTATGCGTACCCCTGCGTACCCCCAGAAAAAAGCACTGCCCATGATTATAAAATATAAAGGATAGACTTTTACCACTGAATTCAATTCTATTTAAAAGCATTTTTTAAAGGCTACAAAATGTCAATAGTATTTACTCCATGTATCTGGAAGGATGCATCATCTCTGCAGAAAGCAACATAATAATAAATAATAGTCTCCCAGAAAAGTCTTTATATCTATGACTCCTTCATTCCAAAGTAGGATTCTTCAGTGATCAGTCCTCCTCCTCCCCCCCCGAATTCTTAATTCATATTCCTTCCCAACATAACTGTCCCAAAAGACCTAACATGATCATAAGCTTTCATCTAAAGGTGCTCTTAATTCAATTTAACAATTTATTCCAGAATTTCTGAACTTCCTTCATCTGAACTTCAGTGTTCTAAGTCTAGATCAATTCCCAACTAGAGATTCACAAACGATTGCACAGCTGAGTTCTCAGAATTACTAGGAATTTTTTTTAAAAAAAAATCTTCCAGGAGAGTTTCATAACAGCCAAGGTAAGAGCAATTTGTCTGCAATCGGCTCAGTATAGCTGACAGAGGAATTTAGCCTTCGCTGTTTCTGTGAGAGAGATCAGCATGGCCATGGGCTCTCAAGAGATAAAATATGAAGCCACCTGTCTTGCAATAGTTCAGTGCTGCTATATGAAACTCAACAAGCAACAAGTTCCCTTTTTAAAATGGGTATTCTAAAAATCCATACTATTCCCCCCCCCCTTCAGTGCAAAATTTATAGCAGCAAGTCATCAGGCATTTCTGCTAGGGAAAATGAGGGATAAGAAACACAAGAGCTTGTGTTGCATTTGACTGTTAGCGTGTGCATTTGACTGGTTCTTTGTGCAGTAATCATGCACTGGGAGTCAAGGAAGCAACCAGTTAGCTTAGGGGATGTTACTGGACTTCAGCAGCCTTAGCCAATATGGCCAACAGTCAAAGATGGTGGCAACTGTAGTTTGGCAACATCTGTAAAGCCACAGGTTCCTGGCCCCAGGTTCCTGGCCACCTCATAACAATGGAAAGGAGGTAAAACCAATCCCTGTCCTTGGGTAATATCCAATGTTAATCCATTGATTGCAACAAGTTCTCGACAATATTTCTTGGCAGCAATACTGCAGAACAGGATTTGCAGAAAAATCAGAAAAATTGGCTATGAGAAAGTTCTGTTAGCTAAATGTTGAACAAAGCTCTATTTTTAGGAGTCCTTTGTTGAATTTGAAGATTATCAAAGGGAAAATAAGCTATTCATTGTTAGTTTTTAAAATTAGTAATGATGCTTTTTGAAAGAATGGCATCAAAGAAAGAAAACCAGCAAGTGTACATATCCCAGGCACTTGATAAGAGAGCCTCTGTGGTTTCCTGTTCTTCAGTTAAGCCCTTGAAGTGGGGAGCTAACTTTTCTCGTTGGTCTTTATCAGATCAGGTAGCATGGGCCACCAGAGTGACTGCTGAGGAATGGAGAAACGTTTTTATGAAATTAAAACACACACTGCTGTCTTGGGCATTTCACAACAGCAGGGCAATATCAACTCCACACCCACTGAAATTCTTGGGGCAACAATACAGTAACTCCACACCTGCTGATATTCCCCAGCTGAGTCAGAAATACAGAAAACCTCTTTTGCAGGGGACTCAAATGCTCAAGAAACTGGAGAGCATTCAAGACATTTCACACATTTAAGCAGAAGCAAGACTAGCTCCAAAGTTTGCAATCACCAGGGAGATGCAGCCAATCACAACTTGAGGAATTGGTATGTATTGGGACAGGTCACATCCACCGCTGCTGCAAAACAGGAATTCAGAATCTGGACCAATAAGTGAAGACAAAGAGCCACTGGCTTCAGTGAGTGGTCCTGTCAGCATTCTGGGATCTCATGACGTTGCCTGCTGACATTGGCCTTGAATGTGAGGATACAATTCTTTCCTGGATTGCTGAAAGTCACAAGTATTGGTCAGACTCACCAAAAGGCATGACGAGGAGTGCTTGCTTGCAAACAATAACTTGCCCATCAGGGGCAGAGGAAGGGGGGTGCGGTAGGCGCTGGCCACCCCGGGTGTATCCACTGAGGTGGTGGTGACAAAATGCGGAGCCTCACGTCTCTCCTGGGAGAGGCGTGGTGGCTTGAGCAAGCGCAGGCTCCACGCTGCCCAAGCAGTCCACTTGCTGCCTCCTCCCCAGCTGTAGGGCAGCTGAGTGGGAGGAGGCAGGCAGACTCCGGAGCAGCCAGGCACCCGAGCAGCTTCTTCCGCCACTGTTGCCCATCCAGAAAGGGGCCATTTTTTCAATGTAAAACTTTGTGGATGTCCATGTGTTTGACTGTTACTTGGATTAATGAATGCTGCGTAACATGATCTTGTGTAACATGATCTTGCAGCCCTACTGTATACTATTAGCCTTTTTCCAAAACATTTTAATCTTGTAGGTACTTGTTATGACCAAAACAAATAGATCTTGACTGAAATGAATATTCATGCAGCCCAGAATTTTCACTAATCACTAACCGAAGATTGGCATGGTGACATCTGGACCCTTGGCAGGCATATCAACACACCCTTTGTCACAGATAAAGTGTAGAAAGGCAAACTATCTGCTAAAGAGAACCTGCACACCTGTAATTTTTGCATTAAAATACAGAGACAATTGCCGTTGAAGCTGGAAACAGGAGGTTAGAAAGTCATCTGATCTTAAAGTGCTTTGGGCTCTTTTCTCAGAAAAGCAATTCAAAAAAAAAATCAGATAGGTTTTTCAGAAAGTACCCTCCAGTGACTGAGATTACTAAAGCCTTAAAGCTGCGGCTGGAGATAATCTCCATTTCCCATGATATGATATTACAGCAAATGACTCTCTTCACAGACAACAAAATCCAGAAATGGAAAGCTGAAATCAGGACAAGAGAAAAGGAAAACAACAGAAAGTGAGGGGGAAAACCTCTCTCTATTCCAAATATTGTAGTCCCAACTACAATTACTGGCATACGTCAGGTCTTCTCAAATTGTGACCCAATTTGAAACAGCCTGCCAGCCCATGCTGCATCAACCACCCAGGTGCCCACAAAATGCCTTCTTTTGCAGCCTCAGTCAGGTAGCAACAACTGATGGTTTCTCAAGCTTTTCTGAACTACCCTGTACGGTGAGGGGGCCATGCTCAACTCAGTGTGGCACAAGTTGTACAGGGCTCTTATAAGCCATTTCTATAGCACCCTTCGCAAACGTATTGCCAAGACCCAGGGCAAAACCAGCAGGAGACAAGGTCACTAGTTCATGCAGACTGCAAGGATCAACTGTGCTTTGGACCCATATCTAATCCCTCTTTGGAACTGCCAAACAGATGTACCCTAAAGATTCTACACATTCTGGTCAAGCAGGCAAAGCAAAAACATTTGACACCCCCTCCCACTATGCACACATACACACTACTACACACCCCACCTTAATTTTCCGTTTACTTGTTTTGTAAGGCTAATTGCCCCCATCTAGCTTGCCCATCTGGTTTACGCAATCTGCTGTAATTACTGTTACTGCCATTGGCAGGAAGTTGTTGCCACTTCCATCTGTGCTTTATGTAGCATTAACTACCACTGGCTCCTTCTACTGCTGTTGCCCAAGTAGGACCCAAGGATTGAAACAAACAAACAAGTTCTTGATTTTAAAAAAATCAATAGTACAATGATCTTCTTTCTGTACATTTTGTTAAAGCAACAGGGTTACATAGCAAAATGAAACACCTTCCTCATAGTTTCTCCATATTGTAAATGGAAATGAACGTAAGTACACAAATATTAAATACTATACCAGTCCTCCACAGCTCATGTTGTGCTAAGGCTGTGATCTTACACTGGTAGGGGTAAGCCCCACTAAATTTACTTCTGAGTAAACATATCTAGGATTGTGCTGCAAATCAAACTGTTTTGTAAGTTAAATTCAATTCAACAGTTCCATCACATGTTAGTCCCTATTTGTTTCATGCAGCCCCACCAAAACAACAATCCTTCAGATACGTTCTGTGGGTGCCAGCATGAGAACATGCATAGACTCTGTGTATAGACTCTATGTATAGTATTGACAATGGGAATGGTATATAATCATGCAGGCAGAAATAATGGGTTAAAAATAAAAGACACTGCACTTTTATTCAACCATCTAAAAATCTTTATGGACTGTTTAGTCCAAATGTTGCCTGTATTTTGGATCAGTTGGTCTACTCTAGATGTGTACATTAAATTGCATTAAAGAATGTGAAATTCTGAAAAGTATTTTAAATTAACATTACTATAGTCACTTTTCAAACAAATTATCTCATCTCCTGTGGCCTTTTCAAAGGCCAGTTAAAGCTCAAATGCCAACTTGCAAAAAGAGTTTATTGGTAAATTATAAAATTCTAAAGATAAAGGACTGTAATGGAAATGCAAACAGATCATTAATATTGCTAGTGGTGGGCCACCAGCCAGATTTGCTGGGCATTCACTATGCTCCTTTTGGAAAGAAATTGTTTTTTTTATTTCAGGAAATTAGTTTTATAAGACACACATTTGCTGAATTTCTATTTGCACAATTATACATGACTGTACTGTGATTAATAATGACCAGGTTATATAGGCAGAAAATGTACTTGCCAAGTTAATCTGCTTTGTTTATCATACTGGGCAGGTTCTCTTTCTGGGTTAATATATTACAAGTGCATGAAGAGCTGGCTGCTTCTGAAACTTCAGTCAAAGCCTCAATTTCTTATGGCTTAAAGAATATTAATATCTAATAAAAAGCAGAACTGTATTAAAACTATAGTCCTGTTTAGGCATTAGGAAGAAAGCAATATAAACACAGAAGAGGGTCAGCAGGGGCAGGCACATTAGCCCCAATTATGCAGGGTTCAAAAATACACAAGGAGCCTCCATGGATATAAAAGGTTTCCCATTTCAGACACTGAAGCCAACGAGAACAGTGACAGGGGTAAAGCTCATATTCACTGCATTTAAAAGTTTGATTTGCCCTCTTCCTAATGCTTCAGGAGGACGTATGTGTGTGTGCATTGAATCCAGACTAAGTTAATCATATTTATGACACATTAAAATGAATGTGAAAATTTAGTTATACTGACTTAAGTCCCATCAATTTCAATCAGTGGAAATTAAGTGCTACTAGCTTAATAACCTATGCATATCCAGTCCTATGCATTCCGTTTTACCAGAGTTGGATTAGTCATCATGCTTGGTCTGATGTAGGTAAGATCCTCCGTTTAAACAGAATGCTCATCCCAACCCAGTCTGGGAAGACTACCACAGCTTATCCTGAAAATGCAATGGACCCCACACTCCATATAGATGGACAGGGAGAAGAAAAGCTAAGACTGCAACAGAGGCACAATGGATGAATATTTTGTCCCTACAGGATGCCACGTGACTACAGGCTAGGTTTGTGTGTGTATTCCAGCTTCCATTTGTTATGGGATGGTCCATGATAAAAGAGATCTATTTTTCACCCAACTTTCTAGCAATTAAATTTTACTTATAGGACAGCTCCCTCCACTACACCTGAGGGTAGCAGTCTAGCTTTGGAGGCACATGGCAGTCTATAAGTGACACACAGCTCTCTTGTTCAACATCTCACTGCCATTACTCCCCAGAATTTGACACCTGAGGCAGCTGCCTCACTCTGCCTAGTGGTATAGCCAGCTCTGTATGGGATAGGACATTTTCAGTGGTGGCACCTTGCCTGAGGAACATCCTACAAACAGAGATTCAAGTGGCTCTTCTAGAGTCCTTTAGATGGATAGCTAAGACATATTTGTTCCATCACTCTTTTATGGCCTTGTTAACTGTTTTATATTGGTTTCAATGTTCTTCAACATTTTTTTGATGTTTTATTGTTCTAAGTTGTTTGGGGGGGGCTCTTTTTGGAGCAAAAGTGTACTATAGAAATGTTTATAAAATAAATGCAATAAAATCTACACACATACAACAATATTGCACTTTCCAGTACAGTGCAAAAGAAAGGGTGGTCTGGTTTGCACATAACACTAATCTATGGTTTATTAAGTCATGGCTTGGCATTAAGAGTGAACCCAGCCCAGAGGTTTAGCTATGGGGCATGCTTACTGCTAACAAATCACAATCTGGAAACCAGGGAGTTCTATCCAGTGCAGTGCTAAGTTAAAGTAACTTTGACTGGGTTCACATGTTAACAACCAAGCCAAAGATAAAATAAAATAAGATTTGTAACCAAAGGTTTGTATTCAAACAACAAACACTGAGCCGTATCCAGTATGTTCTGTCCATTAGTGCAAGACACCTTGTGCTAGCAGATGGCGCAGTTTAAAAGCTATGCATCAAAGGAATCCAGCGCAACAGTTGTGCGAGTGGAAGCTTGTGTTACAACAACAGATTGTGAAATCTGCTGTGCCACCATCTTTGGCCATGTGCTTGTGTATACTCTTACACTGCACAATCTGGTGCACTGGTGCTTTTGTTTCCCTTGCACAGCAATGTTCCGCCTCTGCAACAAGTATACTGGTGTGTTTGTTGTTTGAATACAAACCTTTGGTTACAAACCTTATTTTATTTTATCTTTGGCTTGGTTGTTAACATGTGAACCCAGTCAAACCCCACCCCATATGTTCACCAAATTACAATGGCACAAAACAAGAGCAGCTGGAAAACATAACCATATATTAGGACAACTTGTGGTTTGTTAATCAAGCCATAGCTTAGTGGGAATCAGGCTATTTTTTGTACAGTCTAGATGTCTGACCTAAGGATTTGGAATAGTTCTATGTGTTCTGCACAGGTAATAGTCAACATCTAGTTAAGATTTATGTGTGAAAGAGTTACTTTTAAAATAAACAACCCAGCTAGTTACATTGACCCGGATATAAAAGCCTAAAAGTATTTCTAGACCATAAACCATATTGAATAAAAGTGAAAGGAAATACTGTCAGCCTTGCCCTTCAATTTTAAGGTACCTGGACACCTTTTAAATTTACATGAGCAAATGAGCTATAGAATAGCATTTGAGGGATTAATGTATGTCACTTTTGATTACCTCAAGATAAAATATTACAATATAATCCTACCATTTTTACACCATTTACTTGGCATAGTGGCCTTAGAGGAATGAACAAATTGACTTTGAGCCAAATGTATTTTTTATGAATATGTGAAGCAGAACAACACACACACACACACACACACACACAAAATTAAGCACAGGGTACTCAAACAATTCCTTAAAACAGGGCACTTTAGTCTCAATAAGAAGTTAAAATATATATATATATATTTTGATGATAGCTCCTGGGCAGCATGAATATTTAACACACTGTGCATGGAAATGCCCCTTACATTAAAGACACTAAGAGAAAAATATAGCTTGTTCCTTTCGTCTACCATTTACATATGTGATTTGAAAAGAAAAAATAATTTTGCTTATTAAGGAACAGCTTATAATTCATGTTAAATCCAGCTAAAGTTTCCTTCATATGCTCAATAGATAAGAGCAATATTTCCTTTTTGAAAAAATGATATGCCAAATGTTTGAATATATGGTTTCATCTATACCTGCTTAACTCCCTATTCAAATAATCAGGGCTCATAGTGTAATCCTATACATGTCTACTAAGAATTAAGTACCCTCAGATTCAATGGAGCTTTGATAGAGTTTGACTCTATAGAGAGGTACTTAACTTTGACGAAAATCTGAAAGGGGGATCCTGGTGCCCTCCAGCTGCTGCTGAACTTCCAATGCCCACAAGCCCCAACCAACATGGCTAAAGGTCAATGATTCCGGGACTTGCAGTCCAGCAACATCTGGGATTCCACACTCCTAGACTAGATCATTGTGTTATTTCTTAGTTTGTGCATTCAGTGAAAAACAAAGAAAGTGAAAGGGTAGTATAGAAATGCACTCACTGAAAGATTCAATGAATGAGTTTTACTCATGTGCAAAGTCTGAGCAATCAACGTTATCTGACGCAGATAAGGAATTTTCCTCAAGTTGGTGATTGAGACTTTCTAGAAGTAATGTTTTGTTTTGTCTTGTCTCATCTGGACTCTTTAGCATGTGACTTGCATCACTTGTTTGAGCCATCTAGGCTGATTTGCGCCGCAGGCACTTGTATGTAATGCATTTGCTTTCTTCTTGCGCTTTCCTGTGATCTTGCCTGTGGCGAGGGGAATGTTTAGTTTTTAAAGTTATGTGGTTTTGCTGCCAGCACTACTTCCCACTATAGGTGAGTTGCCATCTCACTTTGACTCATCAGCTATAACTAAGTGAGGATACACACAGACCTTCATGTAGGAACCAATGCCTGAAGATGTAGTGAAACTACCTAACAAATTCCTCAGAAGCAGTCTCAGGAAATTGCAGAGAGGTGCAAACTTGAAGACAAGGAAAATTCACTTAAAGTTTGACCTGCATGCCATTAATTATGGTCTCCCTAATGTTCACAGTATCTATAAATATCCCCAAGCTACCAACAGTAGATAAACAGCTCTAAGCTGGATCCAAACCAGAAGATCCATTCTGCATTTCAAGGTTATCATTTATACAAGTGTGCCCCCAAATATGCATTCCTACGGGAGGAGGGCTAGCGATGTGTCATATCCACTGAAGAGAAGACCTGCAGAAGAAGCTCATGTCCACATTACTTTTAAAGCATGTTTATACCACCCCAGTTTAACAGTCATGGCCTTCCCCACAAAGAATTCTGCAAGATGTAGTTTACTCCCTCACAGAGTAACAATTTGCACCCTTAACAAACCACAATTTCCAGGATTATTTGGGGGAACCCATGTACTTTAAATGGGAGAAAAGGCAATATGTTAAATAAAGGAGTGCACAAAGCATATTGCTTCTCTCTTCTAGACCAGCCAGTCATGCATCACCCAAAAAGAGGATAAGAATTTGCACAAATTTCCCATATAGTCATCTATAAACATAGACACAAATTTTAAGGGAAATACAATACACCTCACCATAGTGTGGCAGACACTGGGTGATTTGTGTACCTGCTTGGACCGCAGGCCACAAGCTGCTAACTGTTGATGGCCTCCTGGGCTCCTGTTGTTATGGTTCTTCATCTTTAAACTAGACTTGGACTGGACAGCCTTCAAAATAGAGAGTGCTGTCCTCCACCGTGCATGGCCACCCTACTGTCTTCTGCCAACCCCATTCTACTCCTTGGTACTTGAGAATGTCCCATGGCCGAGTGTGCATGTGTGTCTAGAAATTAGGCACTATGGCAGAGTGCAGTAGATTCAAGGGCTCTAGATTTTGGCAAGTCAAAACATCCTGTGATGCTCTACCCCCCACTCAATGAAGTGATAACAAAGGGATCTCAGTATGAAATCATGCGAGATCATAGCACCCAAAATGGCTGCTGTGCTCCTGTGAGAGAAAACGGGATGGGACAGCCCCTTTTTTTTCTGGGACACTTGTGGGGTATGCTATCAGCCCTATATTCAAAAGAAGACTTCAAAACTTCACATCTCAAAATATGAATACACTTTCCAAAGGTGAACTGTTACCAGTTAGGCTCCAAAGTAAATGATGTTTCTAAAACATTGAGCATCCAACAGTTCCCATTCTGTCACTGTCCACCTTTCAAAAGAGCTCAGGGCATGTGAGCGAAGTTAGACCTATCAGGCTTGATATTTAAAGTATCGTGTGAGTTATTGATTTAACTAAGAATGATAGTACATCAGATTGCAGCATGCCAAAAAATTTAAAGGGCTGGAATTCACCAACATGTTGGAAGCACTGTGACATTTGGGAAGCTGCTCACCTCTCATTTATCTATGTCGACATCACCTTCCTCAAGTCTGGAAATATCCTCAGTATTATGCTTCGTCTTTTCATTTCTCATTGACTCAAGATGTGTTGACTTTCAGCCATTAATTAATATAAATAGGAAGCAGACAGTGCATTAATTAAATATGACACTCAGATTATTTAAATCTGATATTAAAAACCCACAAAGATCATTCAGGCCATTCTGATATTCTGCTTTCCCAAAATGAGTGATTATATCAAGCCCTGGCAACTTGCTCCAAGTCTGCTGCATCTTGGCTCCAAAGGACAGAAGGAATAAATGAAGTGAGAAGAACACTGGAAAAGCCTAATAGACAAACTGACTAATCTCACACCCCAAGGTCATAGCAAAGCAATTCATTCTCTGTATTCCAACAGGCACTAGACATGATTTATCAATCTGAGAGTAGGCTTACAAACACTATACATCTCAATAATACATTCTTTGCACAGTGTAACTTTTTAAACAATGATTGATTACCTGGATGGCCTCAAACTTATTTAACAAATGGAAACAGAACATTTGCAAACTTTCATGTTTAAACAAGGAATTGCTCTATGTACATTTTGCCACAAATTCTAGCAAGGATTTATGACAAAGGAATTTTTGAGAAACTGTTTCCAGCTTTAGCTTTGATAGATATTGAAGAATTTTTGCCCTTGGGTCTCTCCATTTTATTTATGTTTAGGCCCTTACTCTTTTATAGTGACAACACTGGAATTTTCACCTTAACGCTAAATAATTGCAGCACTTTCCTGAAATTTCATTTTTAAGGTTTCATGTCTCCCCTTAATGTTACCTATTGTTTTAATTTTAAAATGCCCTAAAATGTGTACAAATAGATGTTTTTAAGCAGGTAGTTCATGTACTTCATTATGTGAATCAACAGCTTGCACCATTCATTACTGGATCATTGTTCTTCATTCACTTCATTCAATTATTTCATTATTGTATTCTTCATTAATTTATAATTGAAAGGCTGTAACTCAGTGGCAGAGCACATGCTTTGCATGAAAAAGGTCCCAGGTTCAGGCATCTCCAGGTAGGCTGAGAAAAACTCCTATCTAAAAATCCAGCAGAGCCGCACTGTCAGTCAGTGTTGAAAGTACTGAACTAGATGAACCAATAGTCTCACTCTGTATGTTCTGTATGCAGCATCCTATGTTCCTATCCTGTGTAATTATCCTTTTTAGGGGTCGTGGATTAGCCCAAGTCACATGAGAAACCAGGAAATAACACCAATACACCCAAGTGGTATATTCCTTATGCAGCTTTCACAAATATCCTAAATCAAAGTGTAGTGATGTATTAAACCTCAAATACACCTGGATTTAATTTGTGAATTCCAAACTAGCCAATGTTTTCTACTCTTGTACAGCAAAATGTTTTGAAGAAATGAATGCCTAAAAGTTTACATTCCAGTTTATCCCATGCTTACCTTGGAGAGTTGACTGTAACAGACAAAATGACACAACAATCTACTACAAAGGTCAAGACAAAGTCAAATGTGATGAGTTATACTATACTTTTTCCCATTAATGTCCCAGGAAATATATTTGCACCAATGTTTCCAGTTATGAACAGTGACTTCTAAGCTACAACGTTGAGATCAGTTCCTAGAAATTTCCCTTAATAAGCAACAAAATTGGTATATAGTGCAATAGAGAAATCTCGTGATGGTTTCCACATCCCAATACTCCATATAACAAACTCAAAGGAACTGGTCCTTCCAATATGCTTGTTGCAGCATAGGTAGGATGAAGGTCTAAAACATACATGAGGGAGGGGAATACAATATAATGCCATTGTCAATTAGGACAGCCTTGACAAGGTTAAGGTTTCCCAAAACACTAGTATTCTGATAAATGCAACACTGGTTATGGACAGCTGCCCAGTCATGAATTCCAAAGATGGACTTTTGCAACTCAGTATCTGCCACCCTCATCTCTTTTCATTGGATAAACAGAAAACACAACCTGTTTGTACGGGATTGTTTCAAGTGAAGCAAGCAAGGAAAAATTGAATATGGCAGGCTAAAGCAGTCACAGATATAATTCTGCAAATGATTCCACATATCCCTGTACCAAATTACTGATTCAACATCTCCCCATGCCATGGAGATTTACTATTTTGAGGTGCAAATATCTGTGTTTGCCACATAGTTCTTTTCAGGCACTCTGTCACCCTAAATGTTGCAGGAGGTTAATTATCACTGTTTGAGCATGAACTGATTATAGGAATACCAGCTGCCAGTTATTCTACATGGTGAAGTGCACCTGGAAACATACAACTGTGACTGATTTTGAGGCAAACATTTACTTTGGCACGGCACGAGACAGAAGGATTCATTATACACTTCCTTGTTCCAGGCAGTAATTTGCATCTACAGCTCTTCACAAAATATTACAAATTACACATCTGGAAGAATTATAATCCTTTTTTATGGCAATAGCAACAGTTCCACAATGATGTTCTACAGAGAAGTCCTGTGTACAGTGTGAACTTCTGTGGGAGATTTAAATAAAACACCTACAGCAAAGCAAACAAGATAGTGATACAAAACTGCCTGTGGCTATGAGCCTCAAAACCTGCCTGTTCAAATAATTAAGCTCTGCATCTCCAGTTGTTCAGCATTAGAGGCCTCATCCAAAGATGAATGAAGCCAATAAAAAGACTAGCTCTGATTTTTATTGGGTGTTGGTGCTGAGCTGTTGAATCATCAAGCGCCTTTCCTCCACTTGAGTCAGAGAAGCACTTCATTCCTCTGTGTTGCTGGAAAAATGTCTCAACTATTTGGGATGCAGATGTGCTGATAGAATCTTATACTGCATCTTCCCATTAGTGCATATAGAAACTAAATTTAAAGTACTAACCACTGCTTGATTTAATTGGTTCTGTGTCAGGACTCTAACGAAGCCAACACTTCTGATTTACTACAAAGGCTTCTGTTTGTATCACAAGTAGTAACTGGAGGGAGTCTGCTTATGGTTACTTCAATAATCCTGATTATTTTTTTCCAACATTCTAACTTCATATGGAGAATACTTCCCAGAATGCAGAATTAAACACATTGTCTTCCACTTTATTTTCCATTAATAGCATTCATCTGAATATTTTACAGTACCCCGATGGCTTTCTAACAAGAGAGAAGCAACAATGCATATGTGCAGCAACACTCTGTCAAATTCTAGCTAGTCTACATTTTTTCTAGGTATTATCCATTTTGGCTGAAATAGCCAGATAAATGTGATAGCATGGGGCTCACATAGCAATTCACCTAATGCGGGTTGAGCACACTGACAGCACAATGATATAGCCTACCTACACAGAATGAAGGGCGACAGCATCACCCTTGCATCAAAGGGATGCCAGCATATCAGGACAGCAGATAACTGTATATTCAGAAACATAACAAGGCCATGTAGGGGGGAAATATGCAACCCTACACATCAGAGTTGGAGAACTTTTATTACCCTGAGACCCACATTTCCTCAAGGGTAACCTTCTGGGGCCAGAGTCACATTCACATAACATCCACACAAATCCATTTAGTAAAGGTAAAGGTAAAAGGCCCCTAGACAGTTAAGTCCAGTCAAAGGCAACTATACATCCATTCAGTATAACCTCCATCCACAAACAGCAGTTACATGGAACACTTCCATGGATGTATTCCACATAAATTTAAATTGGGCCTTAGTGTGCTGAGATCACATTATGACTGAGCAACCTTATACACAGCAAATCAACATTTAAATATGCCGTGAAATCTGCATTCAAAGCCTTATCCTTTCCCAGTGACATGTCAGAGGCATCTATTCAATGTTTCCCATAGAAAATTGCTGACATGCTGTAAATGGGGAGAACTACTTTCTTTTTGTCTTCAGTATACAAGAAAAGATACACACCTACGCAGGTCAGGTCGAATTAATAATTAGCAAAATTTCAAACAAAAGCATATTCAAACTGATATCATCATTGCAAGGAGAAAGCAACCTGACTGGCATGCAAGATTATCTGAAAGAGCATAGGTTTATTAATTTATTTTCTAGAGCAGTGGGACTTTTAAGATCAGTTTTTTTAAGAAAAGGAAGTGAGGGGAAGAACATACCTTTCTGGATTCTCTACTTCTTCAGTAACAAAATTGAGGTAAAACCTATAAAAGCAAAGATTAAATCAATTTTATTTACCAATATAGAATTTTTCACATGCAATATAATTGTTACTTAATACTCATAATAACTCTGTACAGCAGATTAGGCTTTTGAGTACACCTCAGAGTGCCCAAAAATCTCCCATAAAATTGTAAGTGGGCCCCACCGCAGGAAAAGTCAGTTAGGCTACAATCCTATATTCACTCATCCTGAAATAAGTCCCATTGAACTTAGTGGGAGGCCTATGTCAGGGAAGACACATACAAGAGTGCACTGTCAAGCTGCCTCATACAAAGTGCAACCGCTAGTTCATTTAGATAGCCATTGTCTTCTGCATTGACCTGAGTATCTCTCCAGGATTTCAGACAGGAGTCTCTTGCAGTCCTACCTTGAGATGCCAGGGATTGAATTTGGGACCCTCTGCATACAAAGCATACGCTAGAGCACTTACGTCTATCTCATAAGCTTAACATCTATATCATAGACTCCTGCCATGCTCCAAGTTTTAAAAGGGCATCAGTTTGGCTGAGATTTACCTAATAGCATATTGAGCATACAGTGGTCAGGCATTCATTGTAATCCAACCTGTTCTACCACTTACCAGCCTGAGTAGGCATACATTCCTGAATAAAAAGCAAGAGGCAATCCTTTGACACTGGCTGCATGCCCCACAAATGCATCTTTAAAGTGCTGAGTTTCTCCTGAAAAGCAGATTAAAATATATATCAACAATTTACAAAGAGTGCAAATCACCAGCATAATCACCCATGAGATAAATCCATTTATTGTTTTTCTTAAAAAATCATTCTAATTCCAGCTTAGTAATCAGCCTCTCATACTTTAGACCAGAGGTTGTCAACCTGGTCCCTACCGCCCACTAGTGGGAGTTTCAGGATTCTAGTTGGGCGGTAGGGGGTTCCACGGCACAAGCTGAATCCTCCTTCCACTGAGCACTGGTGGGCAGTAAGGAAATTTTACCATCAAGAAATATGCATTAGTGGACGGTAGGTATAGAAAGGTTGACTACCTCCATGCGCTACTCTGGTTCGCCAGAAGCGGCTTAGTCATGCTGGCCACATGACCCAGAAGCTGTATGCCGGCTCCCTCAGCCAATAAAGCGAGATGAGCGCCGGAACCCTAGAGTCGGTCACGACTGGACCTAATGGTCAGGGGTCCCTTTACCTTTACCTTTTTACCCCTGCTTTAAGTTTAGACAAATGGGACATCAGAAGCATGTGAAGAGAGGCATCCTTCTGTTGGCTGGCTACAATAGAGCACCATCTGGCTACAAATGTACATCCACAGACTTCAACAAAGCTCTTGCAGCTTTGCAATAAATGTCACAGATCAGGTAAGAGATAACATATACAAGAAGTAACAACTACTGAAACACTGGATACAAAAGTAGTGCCTTTGATAAACAAGGGCATAATCATTCAATCTAATGGCTATACTCTTGCAGGTGTTTCACATACTACATGACACACAATAATTAGCAAAAGCCACATTATATTTAAGCAAACATCAGTACCATCAGAACCAACACCTAAGGGTAAACATATTAGAAATAGGCCCCAGGAGGTGGCTACAAACATATAACAGGCTGTATGTCCCACAGCTGTTTGGAATATTTACCCTTTCACCCTAATTCCCAGTGAAGACTGTTTTGAAAGCAGTTCTGCTAATTTTTAAGAACAGCTAACAAGAAAACCTACTGACAAAACAATTCCTTCCTCATGAGCACACGCAGTTATACTTACAGAACGCAGTTCCCCAACTTTCTACTTCAGAAGGGGGGGGGGTGGAGTGGCAGAATTCCAAAAACAAACATATGTTTGCTTAAAGCTATATCCACCACAACGTATAACAGAAAATTGTCAGAAAATTTGCTGCGAACACATCCTGTAATATTTTAGCAATTTTCTTCCAGCACAGTTAATTTGTTCTCCCTACTATTAATCTACAGTAGAACTGAGGGAGGCCTATTGCTCAATCAAGGCTCAGCTAGGAAAGGAATATATTGACAGTCCCTTCATTCTAGAAAGATCCAGTGGTGAGCCTGTGCGGGTGGGGTCAGTTTGGCAGGCTCTTCACTAAGAAGGCTGTCATGTGAAGTTCAGTGGTTCACTACAGGGAGTAGCCACGCACCAATTCCAGCAGCTCCTGGGGCTTTTCAGCTTCCCTTTTCCTCCTTCATATGCAAAGTAGGCAAATATGAAACTTCCATTTACATTTTGGAACAAACTGCAGTTTTCAATGATGTCCAGATATGGAAAATTGTGAGAAGTTTGTCATAACATAGTTTCAAATCATGGTTTGTTAATTTACTGCAGCCTATACAAACCATGGTTCTTGTATTTGGATGTAACAGGAAACTGCAGTTTGTTCCAATACAATAACAGTTATTCACATTATATCCATAAACATGTGGTATTAAAAACAGCTGGCACATTGATTATCTTATTAGATTCAAAGTAACCCTTAATTAAAAGAATTAGCCATCTGTTTAAACAGCATAGAGGAATAAGCTGAGAAAAGTTTTGAAAGTGAAAGCCAATCAGTGGGAATATAAACCTGAAGGAAGAAGCTGGAAAATTTTAAATCAAGAGTTTGGCTGTGTTTGGATGTAACTCATAACCACAGTTTAGCATTATGAAAATAACTCTACATGTGCCTTGGTTCACACAATCCTCTTCCTTTCCTCCTTTCTCATGGTCAAATGAAGGAAAGTGGAAACTTCTACCCTTCTTTTAAATTAACCGCCGTTTAGCCTGTTGTGCAGTTAGTTGAAACAAGTCAGATTTAAAAGCTATTGTTTGAACTTGGCTTGTTTCATCTATCCATAGGCCACTAATCACCATTTGTCTGGGTTTGGATTGCACAAGAAGATGTATTTAAAACCTTTTAAAAGTCAGAGGTTTACACAGACACATCTCTCTATTCAGGCAAACAACAGGAATGATGGCAGTTCAAGAAACACAGTCCAGAGAGGTAGAAGCATTTGAGGAAGACCTCAAGGGCTGAATTTGCCCCATGGGTTTGAAGTCCCCTTCAGCCCTGTTCTAAATTATACAGCAAGGAGCATTCAATGGTACATGCGCCCCCTCCAAGCCGCCTGCTTGGGCACTTACCCGTGGGCGTGGTGCGCCAGCCCGGTGAGTGGGTGGCAGGGGGCTAACGCCCCCTGCATAAGGCAGGCATCGGATCCCACCCACAACCCCTCCCCTCTTGCAGGAGGAAAGGCTTTTTGCAATGGAATTTGATGAATGAAGAGCATTGTGGAAGAGTTTTGCTCACAGATTATGTATTGTCTTCTAAGTGTGTGTGTGTGTGTGTGCGTGCGCATGCGTGTGTGCGTGTGCGCATACACACACAGAGCTAAATGGAATACAGTATTAAATAGTTGTTTGAATGTCCTATCGGAAGTTCTGTTCCAATGCATTTACCCTGCTAATAATTTTTTTCTTGAGAGGAGCAACTCATTGGCCCTTCATTTAAAACATTATGGATCCAGCCTCAATACGCTCTCATCAGCATGCTGCTGTAAATATAAGTTCTTCTCAGCATAGTTCCACTTCCAGTTATTTACATGACAGTATGGAGCTTAAGTTGAACAAGCAGAGACTAATTAAGAGATTTTGCTGGCCTCAGCACTATATGGGTAGGGACAAGGGTGGGAAGGGGGAGATAAAAGCACTTAAAATAGCATTTACTTTTCACTTCATACCTTTAATTAGCTGCATAACTCCAGGGACTATAATTATCAAAATTGCTACGAGCTTGCAAAAGGTTAGGAAAATCTGGATGCGGGCACTCCAGCTGACACTCATGCTATTCAGGACCATTACAATTGCTGGAAGGGGGAAAAGAAGAGAAAATAGTTAAAAGAAAGTGCTACTCATCCCTCCAAAAGCACCATAAGCTTCATCAAGGGAAAGCTTTCCCCAGCATGCATTCTAGGCATTTGCAGAAGAAGTGGAGTTACCCTTATAAACGTTTCCTTCATTAGTCTTCTTGCCACACACTTTTTTTCATCATCCCACTCTCCTCAACATGCCTTTGCTAAAGCACTCCTTTCCCCCCACCACCACTGCCGTTCTACCAGCCATAAATCTCTTTGCAAGCTTTCAACAGCAGATATTAAAGTTTCTTCCTTCCTGGCAGAACCATTCAGTGTTGATAATTGATGAACTGGTATAACTCAGCCTTTAAACTGAAAATTAATGTCACTTTCCCATTCCAGTTGTAATCTTTGGTTTGATTTAACTTCAGATTTGTATGGCATTGAAAACATTGAACAATGGAATAAAACAATCAGAGTGCCAAATCCTCGCAATTATGGGCCCTGCAAAACATTGCCCTTTGGGCTCAATGTTCACATTCATTTCTTCTCCTAAAGGTTCTGTGTGGTTTCCTCTAGAGAGATGCCTTGGGGAATGTGCATTCAGCAAGGTGGTTATAAGGAACCTTTCAGCTCTCTTGGGGAGCCTGAATTACTTCCATATTCCATATTCTTAAGTATGAATAAGTACATGAGCAAAAGACTATTACCTACTAAGTTACATCAGTTTTGTATCAGTTCAACTGTAATGACATTTTCCAAAGAACACTGGGAAATCTGGAAAGAATTCCCCAGAGTTTCTTGGGCAGAGGGAACTTAAAAAAAAATATGTTTCCATCTGATGAATTAATTGTTTGTTTTCTTGCATCTGTATCCTGCCTTTCTTCCCTCTAGAACCTAAGGCAGAATTCCCTGTGGTTACCAGGTTGTCTCCCATCCAGGTACTGACCAGGTCCAGACATGCTTAGCTTTAGCAAGCAGGTGACCTCAAGTGCCTTCACATGTCTGAGACACACGCACTTCTCCCTACCCTATTTGCATGGTGATGCAATTACTTGTAGTTGTTATTTAATAATAATAATAATAATAATAACAACAACAACAACAACAACCACTTCACAGACCAGGACTTAAGGCATCTAAAACATTTTTATATAAAAAAAAAACATATAATTTTTTTTAACCTAAAACACACTGATTTCACCCACCAGGACATTTTGTCAAGCAACCTGCCCTATGCCTGATGCTATTATATATGACGTCAGGAATTTCATATATGATGACTGAGCTGAAAGGTTGTTTGCAAACAGTGGCGATTTCTGCCCCCATTTCTGCTTCAGTCAGAATTCTCTAAGATCCCTAGTAATTACCCTCCTCCTCTGCCATAATGAGGATACCTGGTTGCACAGTAGCTACATTTTTACTTTCTCACAGTCTTCCAAAGTGATGCTAGGCTGAGGGTATTTGGGGAAATTAAAAGGGCAGCTAGATGCCTAGAGTGACCAATCAGGGGGGGAAAGAATTCAGGGAGGCAGGGTAGATACCAGCATGGTCACTGCTAGGATGCTGGGGCCCTGGGAGCTGCCCAAGGATTCCAGGTGCAGATGTAGGGCAAGCAGGAATGAGCAGTGGCATCTGGCTAGCCACAAGAGAGCAAGAAAACACATTGAGCATGGACATCTGCATAGGGAAAGTCTATGCAAGCAGCCTGTCCTTGCTCAGTGCATGAATGGCAGGGCTGAGGAAACCATGCAATGTAGAAATAGGGCAAGTGGTGCAGTCCACCTTGTATTCAACTAGCCAAACTTGGCCCTCCAGCTATTTTTGGACTACAGCTCCCATCATCCCTAGCTAACAGGACCAGTGGTCAGGGATGATGGGAATTGTAGTCCCAAAACATCTGGAGGGCCAGGTTTGCCCATCACTGAACTAGAGTAATCTGTGAAGGGGCCTAGAGGAATCTGTTCTTCATGTATAAATATAAATATATTATATACATTGCAATGCTGCCATGACCAGCTATAAATATAAAGTAGGCAGTCAGATTAAGGAGCTTAAACCAAAGAAACAACAGCAACAAAATCTTAAAAAGACACCGGCCAATCTCCAATTTTTCCAAAACAGAAAAAGGATTACAGGGGGAGAATAACATGTTTAGAAGTTTGCACTGGGCCCAGAGAAGTGATTGTTTGGTTGTTACAAATGTGCATATAATTAAATGACTTAATCCTTATGTTTAAAGAAAAGGGCAATTAATGGTCAATCAGTAGCCAAAGAAAGAAAATATTGTTTATTTTCTTCCGTCCAGCTACTCATTCAGGATTAACTGGAAGGCTGGGTTAACTGGAAAACCACCATCACATTTACTGCACAGACAGATTCATGCAGAGTCATGGAGATTAGCAGACACAACAGAAGCCTTGTGTATCTGCCCTGGTTAGATCTATAAATCCCGACTACCCAAGATGGAGGCTGTGAACTTGCATACTAAAAATACTGAACTAGTGTAATGCTTCATATTGCCAGAATATTGATTCACAATTATCGTCACACGTACAGGAATTTTTTATAGGTGTACAGCATGTGGTGTTTCTTTACACAACTTGGCCACCAGCTTCCTCAACATGAAACAACAGAGTTCACAACCTCAGGATTAATTTAACCTTGTGTTTGTTATGTTGAACTATTCTTTAGATTCACAACTGAATACATCCTTGGTTACAATGCCACAAACTAAGGGCCTGTCCACACTTGTCCCAAGTCAAGAAACCTTGGCGTCCAAGTGGTTTGCAGCTTGTCCAATGGCTTTCCCCTGTAAAACCTTCTCTTTAGCATGAAATTGGAGTGAACGTCAATCTGGAGAAAACCCAATGAACATTTGCTCCGATTCAATAGTAAGCAGTGGGTTTTCCCGGGGGAAAGCGGGGGGGGGGGGTGTTTACAGAAATATAGATGATCCCTGAAAGAGGTGTGGGAATCCAATGCTGATTTGGTGGGAGAGAAGCAGCGACTCAGTAATCTGCTGAGGGGAAAAGACATTAAACTGTAATATCTGTTAGCAACACAGTTCTTTCAGGCTAATTGCACAATGATATATAGGCTGACAAGAAGCCATGGTGAAGTATATGAAAGGACTTTAAACACCGACTTGGTCTTTTAAAGGAAAGATCAGAATAAAAAGAGTTCAGCTTCTCTGCCTTGAACACAGTTATACAACTCAGGGATGAATGAGTAATCCAAGCATCTTTGCACCTATGAGCACTTAGTAGCAACATTTCAATACAGCGACCTGCCTTGCAGAAATATGTGCTTGATTTTCCGTTAGTTAATAGCCAGCAAGAACCTGAGTTATGTGGATGACAAGAGTTCACACGGCATCTTGTGGCCTCCTTTCTGAGCAGTCCAAGGAATGAATCATAAATCACTCTTCTTAAGTGAGTCATGCTTATTGCAATGAAAAAGCCAGCATCTGTTTGAGAACAGTTTATCAGTATTTATAGCAAGGCTTTATTGTAAGTTCTGCCATGTTCAAACTGGTCGTGAGGCTGCCAGCCTGTTTTGTGGCTGCTCTGTTGTGGCTTTGTAGTTAGTCATAAAAAGAGGGCAAAAGTGTCATTTAATATTACAGCACATGGGGTTTGCTTTTATAACTACATCGGTGTGTTCATCCACCTGCAAAGTTTGCACAATCTTCCTAAGTTTAATGTGGAGTGTGGGTGTGTATGTTAAACTAAAAAACCAAGGTAGGGGTACAAAGAATTACGTAGAATATATTTATGGAAGTATGAAAAGTATGGAATGGATATGGAATCTCATATGTGTCAGTTTTGTATTTAAAGATATGTATGGGGCACTGCCAAAAAAAATAATAGAGCTACTTAACATTTATAAATATAGTGATTTTAATCTATTATAACAACATTTTCTATCACAAATATACAAATAAAAAAATGTAAACACATTTTGATATTTTTGTGAGCCAAAAACTGTATTGCATGATTCACAGAACTGCAAAATTGTAAAAAAATTAGGTACTGATCTGCACATGAGTCAAGGAAGAGAAGATCAGGACAAAACAGTACAAATTGGAATTTACAAAAATTGAATTCATCAGGCATCCAAACAGAAGTACTGCTTGTGGAAGTTTGTCTGACTATGGAGGTGGTATTCAGACTATTCTAGACAGACGCTGACTTGTCCTAAAGGATCAGGATTGATGTCTTGTTGTGGGGGAAGGGTAGAGTCTGACTGATCCACCCCAAGCTGCTTCTGTGGCACATTCACCAATGGAAGATCATGCACCAATTGCAACTGCCTCTGGATAAGGACATTCTAGACGCAGTAATTCATGTGCTGACAATCTGAACTACAACTCCCATCAACCTTGACTATTGGCCACAAGAGCTGAGGCTTATGGGAATTGTAGTCTGACAACATCTGGAGAGCAGCAGCTTGGAAATCCCTGGTTAATCTTAGTGGGTCTCCTGTTTATTCTAATTCTCAAACCATTATCTTAGCTCAGCAAGTGATCCATAGCAAACTCCCAATCCCAGTTCATTAGAGGTAATGGTGCTGTTACCTCAAGGGACCCAGATAGTGCTTCTTCTTGCCTGTGTGCTCAAAGCAGGGCTGACATTCTACTGTATTTGGTGATCAGTATTTTATTCTCCAAGGGCAAATAGGCTTGCCCTGCAGGGTTTAGCATGCCTCATCCTGGAGTCATTCCAGTTCACCTTACTATAATTGCTTCTTCATGCACATCTTTCAGTGTCTCTCCTGACAGCGGCCTGCCTTGTTCTCAAAGCGCTTCCTAAAAGAGACTCCATTCTGAAGCAGCAACTCCTCCAGCTCACTCCCAGGCTCTCATTTGGTCTCCATGCCAACCACTTGCTGTTAACTCCTATCTCCCTCCTCAGGTGACATTATTTTAGGAGGACTCCACCTTTCTGCCATACTGATTCTTTCTTTTTAATTAAGGCACATACGGTAATCCTGGTTTATCTCAAAGATTGCCCCATTAAATTAATCGTGATGAAATCCCATTCCAAATTATACACACATTGTGGTCAAATTAAAAACACTAGGCAAATGTTTACAATGGAATCCTTTCCTGCATCCAGCCACCAACGCTGTCCCAGGGGCAAATGCAGGATCAAACATCTGTTTTACTATTATCTTTCCATGAAATATTTTCCACATTAACCTCTAAAGCTCATAACTTTAATTCAATTACTTAGATAGAGCCTTTAGGTTTTAACATAATTAAGAGAGAAATAAGGTGGTCAGGTATTGATTCTCTATCCACGTTTTGGGTTGGTGGAAAAGCACACTCACAAATAACTTTGGGACCTGGAAGTTCAAGGACAATCCAACTGAAGAAAATGCAAAATGAGTGCATTTCCTTGTGTAACTAGAATTGTCTTGCATGACTTCACTCCTTCTTGATGCCTTTAATTTCCTTTCTAATGTGGGGTCTGGCTGCCTGTTTGTAATATCTGTTAATATAAGGGCCCAGCTTACTATTTTGGCATATTCTTAGTACAAAGAGTTCTGTAACAGATAGATAAACTATATGTGCAGCAGCTGGAAAACAGAAATTGAAGATTTGCCCTTTTGCTCACTTGTTAGGCAATGTCGCTTGCACAGGACGTAATTATATAATTTCCAAAAGATGTAATCTAGGGATCCAGATTTATTCACACTTAGTGTAGGTCAATTGACATCAATGGAACATATATCAAGCCCTAACTTAAGTTCCATTGATTTTAATGGATCTGTTCAAAGTATAGCTTCCAGTTCTTTTCATTTCTCCTACAGATGTTGTTAATAAAATGTGGCCCTAGTTCATCCAATCTTGGGTCCAGTTGCCATTATATTAAGTCAATGCAATATTGCAGTCTTGTGGCAAAGGGATATGTGGAACAAGGGGATTTCTGAGATATATCCAGACTCAAGGTTTGACTTTCTATGTCAAACCCAAGAAGATTTAATTGTGCTCAACAGAGGATGGCCAGAGGTTGACTTTAAAGCAGTGTTGGCCAGCCTTAGGTCTCCAGCTGTTTTTGGACTACTACTCCCATCATCCCTAGCTAGAAGGACCAGTGGTCAGGGATGATGGGAATTGTAATCTAAAAACAGCTGGAGACCCAAGGTTGGGAAACACTGCTTTAGAGCACATGTGGAATCTATGTTGCGCAGTGGCCTCCGTAAAAAGACCAAAATCATCTTTATGCCAATTAGCCATGCTCTCTTCATAACCTGAATACATTAATATTTCAGTCCTTACTGGATTCAGTTACAGTCACCTTTTTCATATTCAGTCTCACCCCTATATCAAGTCTCTGCATAATTGCTGGGGCTTGGGAAGAAGATAAATGTGTAAAAACTGGAGCAAATATTGAAGCACCTGTCAGCTGCCACACTGGTCAAGAAACAACTGATATTCAATAATATCAAAGGTCACAGACAGAACTTAGTATCCATAGCCCATAATTTGCACTGCTGACCAAACACTGAACACTGACTAGGCTCCTAATCAGAAGTTTAATACTCTACTGACAAAGGAAACTTCACCACCATGGGGCCTGGAATACTGTGTTCCCCAGATGCACCTGTGACTACAAGGTGACCTACTCATTTCACTTTACACTAAACGGGAAGGTTAAGTGTGAGAGTGAAAAATATCACAAGTTTGTGTGACTGGCCCTTGAAAGTGTGTAAGCAAGTACTGCCCAGCAGAGGCCTAGCTTTTCTCAATGAGTCTTCATCAGTCTGGACACACCAATCCATCTCAACTAGTTAAATAGCTGGTTCCTCCCAGTCTACAATAGTAGGCCATAAACTCTGCAGTGCTAAACAAGCCACAAAATTTCAGACTCTGCAGCTGAGCTAATGTTTGCCAACCACTAACGTGTTTTGTTTTTCCAGGCAATCTAAAACAATCCAGGTGTCATGTGCCAAGTGTCCCACATCTTGGATCATAAAGAGTAGACATCATTTCCCTATTGCCTGCACCATCATGACAGTGGGCCAGAAAGACAGAACTATTCTATTTCAGCAAGAAGCTGTCTTAGGAGATTTAGGGATGAAAGCTCTGAGTCTGACAGATTCAGTAATTCCAGTTACTGATTTCACCTATCTAATAAGTATCATTGCCTTATCTGGTCAGTTCTCTAGTCTGAATAAAAGATATCAGCCAGCTGCTGCTTTCTGCATTTGTACCTTACCTTGCCTACCCTGCTGGGTTATTTTTCACCCTTTACCATACCTCAGAAGAAAAGCCTTACCCAGCCACTGAAACTCCTAGCAAGAGTGTTTGATTTCATATTGTCTCCCACTCTCAAATATAAACCCCTTGGTCATCCTGAAGTATCTCTGAGAACAGTCTGTTTTAAGACTATTAAAACAATTCAGTTACAAATTCACATTTTTAATTTGTCTCATATGAGTTGTATTAATTGAGTGCAGAATTTATTCTTGCTTTCTTCTGCCTTTCACCTGCTTCAGCCCATTTCTCCTAAAAACTGATACTTACTGATTCCCATAGCTGTAATCAGTTTAATAGCAAGGTCTGGGATTTCACACTGGATAAAAAATGGTTCCAACATGTAACGTCCAAATGCCAGGGAAATCACTGCTGTGGCAGCAGGGCTGCAAGAGAGAAAGAAAGGGGGAAAAGGTTGGTCAGTTTACAGGTAGATATGGAGATTATTTACAGTATACATGCCTACATGACATGTCAGGCTGTGTCAAATATATTACACATGCCAAATTGCTGGTGAATTTTCATGAATGCAAACTGATGTGGAAATGTAGAGAACTGAACAACATTTAAAATATGTGAAGCTGAGAAAAACAGAAATTAATAGATTTGCCCATCCCTACTTCCAGAGTTTTAGGACATTGTCATTAAGGTATTCATCCTATGAAGGCTGGATAACTTTTGCAATTATGAATTGCTTGTGTGAACAGTCTAGTCACGTGAACACTGTAACATCAGAAAATATAACTCACACAACTATTGCGACTACCCTTCTGCCAAGCAGAAAAACGTTTTTTGCACTCTTTTAAAAAATGATTTTTTATATATATATGAAATTCATTTAAACAGGAACAAGTTCTTTTGTTCTCCCTTTTGTGCTCTTGGTAGCTGCGATTCCTGTGCTTTTGGAACTTTTTCTTGGCTCATAATCTTGAGGTTTTCATAAGCGTCATTTCTACATTTTGTGACAGTCACAGTCACCAGGCCTTATTAAAATGAGGAACTATCCCTAAAGAAACTTACTTTGCACAAAAATCTACAAGCAGAGGAAACCGATTGCTATAAACAATTGCTGGAATTCAAATACGTAGAATTCAAATACATAGAACACATGCCAACACTATAGGGCATGGTGTTTCATAACCGTGGCTTGGTGTGATGTTAGAATTGGTTCCTGCTCTAAACCAATTCTGGTTTAGACCCTTTTCTTAAACAAAGCAAGAACAGATGTTATGGAATCCAGCTCCCAAAATCCCTAGTCAACATCCCTAGCCAATGGTCAAGATAGCAGTTGTAGTCCAACATCTGTAGGGCGGCATATTGACTAACCCAGCTACATTTGGTGGAGGAAGTGTGTCGAGTGTTTGGGGAAACTAGAAACCATAGCTAGAAGTGTCTTTGCAAACTGATTTGGCTAGGTGGAAGCTGAGACAGGCAAGTGAGAGGTAATATTACAGACCAAGGACAAATTCCAGCCAGGCAAAGGTACTCAAGAACTGTATGAAGAACAGGAGAATCAAGTCAATGGCCCATCTAGTCCAGCATCGTGTTGTCACAGTGGACACTCAGATGCTCATGGGAAACCTTCAAGCAGGGCTCATGCACATGCATGGCTCCCAGGACCTTGAAGGCAGAGGATAGGCATTGTGGCTAGTAGCCACTGGTGGCCTTATCGTCCAATAAGGGAACTGGGCAGCGGGGCTGTCTTAAGCATATCTGGTGCCATGGTGCAAAGATCCCTCTGGTGCCCCCCCCCCGGCAACTCCAAAACAAGGGAGGGGGTGGTGGAAAATGTCCTCTGCCTCCCCCAACACCCTGATCCCCAGTGTGGTGGCAGCGATCAAGCAGGAAAACATGCTGGCGGACATGCTCTCTGGCATCAGGGCGCCCAGGAAGGCAGCCCAGGAAGGCTGTGTGCTGCCTTTCGCTAAGAAGCAGGAGGAGAACAACGGCCGGGAGCAGGGCCGCCTTTAGCAGATGCAGAGGCTTGGGAGGGAAGCTGCGCACAGCTTCTGCGGGCATCACATCGCTCTCCTCCTGCGGAGGCTTGGGAAGGAAGCTGCATGCCTGCCAGCCATATAGTTGGTGAGGCGCAGCTGGTGGGCATGCAGGTAAAGGGGAGGCTGCCGGCAAAGCCGCGCAGCTCACCCACTTGCTAGGACACCCCTGAGAGGCCCACGCCCTGGCGCAACGAACCACTAACACCAATGGGAAAGACGGCTGTGCTGGGCAGGGTCCTCAGGGTCAAAATGACACCTGGAGAGTTGCATTCAGGCTGAAAATGATTCCCCATTAAGGCTATTTTGAATGTAGAAGCGGAGAAAGAGTTAAGCACCTCAATCCCTGCCCACTTCTTTGCTCCAAATTCCAGGCTCACAAAACTGCTTTTCTTTATGAAAGCAAAGCCAGGATTGGGGCGCTCTTATATACATTGCATGCTATGCTAAAGTACTTGACTCATCCTTTAAAAAAATAAATAGATGCCAAATTTATTGACACAATGCCAATCAATTTATAGCAGAAACTTAAAGCATTATTTTGGCAGGGGAGGCACTCTTGATAACTACAGATCTGGACAAGCATGTATCCCAGGATGCATGCCATATCGTGGCTTGAAAGGATCTTGCCTTTATTTGTTTTGTGTTGGGTGTGGATTAACACTTGCTAATCAATTCAGTGTGTTCCCAGGAGAGTGACGCACCTCAAATATATATCCCATTCAGAGTGACTGAGCACAATTGTTGTTAACCAAATCCTTTATTGCTACAGCTTGTTACGTAGGCATATGAAGCAATAAGAACAACTAAAATAAGCTACGTAAATACATGGGGCATGGGGCGGGAGAGGGAGAGGAAATGAGAACGCATATTTGTTTCACTTGTATGGATTATCTTTAGTAACACAAGCTCCTCAGATGCAGAATTAGAGTAACTACATCCACAAGCTAAACTGCCTACAGATAAACCTGTTAGCTCCCACAGGTGCTCAAACTGTATTTGTTGTGATATGAGAGCTATTTTAAACAGCATAGTAAACACTGAGCAATTCACATAACATAACAAGGCATTGTGCTTATTTACTAAGCCAACTGGCGGTGTAAATTGTAAGTTAACAATGTTGTAAATGGGCCACTAAGACTATAAAAATGGAATCTCTTGGGCTAGGGGGTGGGAGAACTTGTAGGTTGAAACCAGTTTAGCCAGCTCTACTTCTTTTTCACGCAGGGAATAAAGTGTTAGAGGAAGTGCAATATTCTCAGATCACCCTGGGGCAACAGAACACAATTTCAGCCTCACATAGATTTTCACATTTTACTAAAAGACACCTACAAGTGAAGCTTTAAATTTGTTCGGGACCACTCCAGATCTTGCTCCTGAACACCCATCAGTCACCCTCTTCCTTGTCAACTTTTGGTGCATATTGTGGTCTAAAACACTGTGCCCACTCACAGAGTTCCCACAACCTGCCATGCCCAACCCACTGGAAATTCCAGTGGGGCTCCCTTTTATAAGAGAAAGCAGGGCATTGATTTACAGCTTCTTTTCTACCAAAGACTCCAAGGCAGGGTTTAGAAATAATACTACATAGTTAATACTATATTGAAGTAGAACGGAGGCACAAAGCATACTGAAATGTTAGCCCTAGCCATATTTGCCACAAAGCCAGACTCTACATGCATACAATTCCATGTGCAATAGACACATGGGAGGGTTCTTTCATATTGTATAGCCCCATCTGACCAAATCTGAATCAAGCGCAGGTGTGCATGTCTCATGGATGCACCAGGGGAGTTGCTGGAAAATGATGATTACTACCTGCAAGTAAGTTTCATAAAAGCCAGCAGACACTGTGATTTATTGGGGGGAAATTACAAGGCTTGGATAGTTTTAAACCAACATTATGATGCAACATGAGGTCCGGGTATTATTAATGTTCTGCTTCAGCTTTTTAGAGCAAACAAAATTAAGCATTTTTTTATTTTTAAAAATATTGCTTTTTAGAGTTTCTTAATTTTTACAAATTAACAATTAGTAGTCCAACTATGTCACAAAGGAAAATCTTGGGAAGCAAGAACAGGAAGCACAAACTAAGGGACAGAACACAGCTGGACTATGTCCATGCACACCATATTTTTAATTGATTTTTGACTTTCAAAAGCATACTGGGAGTACACAACAACAAAACAAATGCAGACAGAATTGACTTACCGTATAATGAGCAGTTCCACCCACACTCTTACAAAAGCAGGTAGAGGGCCAAAGGCTTCCAGAATGTATGTATAATGCCCACCAGATTTCTTTATGCTTGTGCCCAGTTCAGCATAACAGAGCGCACCTGCAAAATTATAATTAATATTAAGGCATCATTTCTGAAAGATAGCCAAGCTTATCTATAATGAATAGTCAGCCTCATACATTTTATTAGCATGCATGTAGCCCAATAGCATTTGCTTACATTCATGCTCCACGCCCCATGAAAACTACACAAGGCCTATTCATGCAAATGCTTCAGGAGATTATTTTTTTAAAAAAAACTTATTTATTGACTTATCTTCTGACAATGGGTGGCATCCAACTAAGGCACAATCAGAGTAGATCCACTGAGATTCATGGACTTAAGTCCATTGGTTGGACTAGATGATCCACGGATCCCCTTCCAATTCTATGATTTTTTTTTATTTCAATGGGCCTTTTCTGGATATGACTAAACAGCACAATCCTAACCAAGTCTACACTGAAGTAAGTCCTGTTGAATTCAACAGGGCTTACTTCCAGATAAGTGGGGTTAGGATTGCCCAGTTTATTTTGAATCACAATCCAGCAACTTTCAGTGTGCAAACATCCCTTTCCAACCAGGACTAGAAGTCCTGCAGTTGGTTGTGTTACTTCATTCAATTAATTGTGGGTGCCCTGAGCCTCTGCAGACAGTTGGTCATTATTAAAATTGTCTTGAAAAAGGGAAGACTTGTGATTAGGAGACAAAATACAGTCAACAATACAGGGGTACCTTGGGTTAAGTACCGTATTTTTTGCTCTATAAGACTCACTTTTTTCCCTCCTAAAAAGTAAGGGGAAATGTGTGTGCATCTTATGGAGTGAATGCAGGCTGCGCAGCTATCCCAGAAGCCAGAGCAGCAAGAGGGATTGCTGCTTTCACTGCGCAGCGATCCCTCTTGTTGTTCTGGCTTCTGAGATTCAGAATATTTTTTTTCTTGTTTTCCTCCTCCAAAAACTAGGTGCGTCTTGTGGTCTGGTGCATCTTATAGAGCGAAAAATACGGTACTTAATTTGTTCCGGAGGTCCGTTCTTAACCTGAAACTGTTCTTACCCTGAAGCACCACTTTAGCTAATGGGGCCTCCCACTGCCACCGCGGGATTTCTGTTCTCATCCTGAAGCGAAGTTCTTAACCCAAGGTACTATTTCTGGATTAGCGGAGTCTATAACCTGAAGCATATGTAACCTGAAGCATATGTAACCCGAGGTACCACTGTATTATATTAATTTGGGTGTTATTATTTTTTTGAATAGAGTTCCATTCATAACCCATGCAATCCATAATCAATATAAATCAGTTGTAAAATTGTCACAGGGAATCATCTTTCCTTTTACTGGAGATTTTTATCAATGGGTTGCATTAACATTATTTCATAATTTCACTGAATATTCTGATGGCTACTTTTGAGCATTTCAGTCTCTCTCTTTTTACATTTAAATGTATTTATTAAAGCATCACATCTAAGGGCCACCAGAGCATTTCAATAGACCTGATAAAGTCACTTGCATCTCAAATTTTACTTCTTTTCACTTCAATCTATATAACAGTTAGCAGACCAATTTTGTATATACAGATAGTGGAATTATTTAACATATGCCAATCAATTTAAGCTCCTTTTCTGAGGAAAAAGTCAGTGCTATCTGAAAGTTCTCCTCTAAAATTAACTTCAAAGAATTGCATTTAAGGGTTACACAGCTACCTGTGCTTTGTTTTTTTTATTTAAGAATTCTGTAACTGGATCTCTTATTGCATAATCCATGAGGAAGAAGAGTGGAAGATGAAACAGTATGAAGGCAGTGTCTATCAAATTGTTGTAAAAGCTGTGCAGAGAACACTAAGAGGACCTTTACTGGCCAAATACTTTTAAGAGAATTTAGCACAAAAATGTAAATTTATGCGTTACAAATGCAAGAAGAATGCATTTTATTTCTTCTGTTCCAATCACATCACTCCTGGACACTGATGCTCAATTAGAACGTAGCATAAACAGAAACAAAATCCATCTCCTGTACTAATTAAAATGAAATTATTTTGAGGTTGACCCTTATGCTGGCCCTGTAAATTATTGTTGGCCCAACAGCTATACGTTCTGATTCTGATCAAAATGTTTTGCAAGGGTGGATAAAGCCTTGTCTCTGATCTTTCAAGTGCACAGTAAGTTGACACAGGGCAACATTCACATATCCCACTTCTTGAGCAGAGATTTTTTTACTCCCCTCTCATTTGCCCACTGTTCCTAATACCAGAAAATAAGTCGTCTAGGCTAATAGTAATACCTAAGGTCATGCGGGACTTCAGCTTCTTTGAGATTAACTTATTAAGGCAATCAAGAGGCCCATTCTTTGATAGATTTAGAGGTTATGGATATGACCAGGCTATTTCTTCATCTATATAGATGATAAATGTTATAAAGTCTTTTTTAAAATTGGAATATCATTTTTTTAAAAAAAGTTTTAAAAACCTGGTATATACATTGGCCATTTAGTCTTAAACGGAGAGCTCCAGAATCTATTTTCACTCTGCAATCCTATATATGTCTACTTCAAAGTAAGCTCCAGCAAGATCCCTGGTAAATAAGTGCTCAAACTACAGATGCCATTATCAAGATAATAGCTTTTCTAAACATTAGCAGAATGTCTGGCTTTAAGATTAAGGGTTAGAAGTGAGGGGTTCCAAGTCATCATTCAAATGAGATTTTGATTTAATATTTTTTAAAGAAAAAAATCAAATTAGCTAGAGCAGTGGTTCCCAATTGGTAGTCTGCACAACTGACCCAAGGAGGTCCATGGCATTTTCACAGAACAAAAAAACACCATAGAGATCAAAATTTTCAAAAGTAGGGGGTCCATGGCTTGGCTTTTGAAAAACAGGTAGTCCACAGTACTTAGCTAATTAGGAATCACTGAGTTAGAGTGCTCCTGTTTTATTCCCTTCTTCCTGCCACCAGAGAGTTCAAAAGAAGTTTAGTTCATGCAAAAGTAGAATCTAACCAATGGGGAACTAGGTCAATCTAGGTGTACATTTCGCAGGTGTTCTTCCAACCAAGCGGTTCACCTCCCCCAGCTGCCAGCCCCTCTGTGAGTGTGCTGCTACCTGTTCTTCGAAGCTTAAACTGAAAACCAACACAAACAGCAAACTTTATGATGTGATAAAGGAGACTTCTCTCTGCAATTCCTTCAGGGAGTCGTAAGAAATACAATTTTGGTCTTAAAGTCCTGCTGTACCGAGTTTCGCATGGCAATCTTTGCAACTTACAGTGGTTGCCAAGCGGCAAAATAACCCCCAAAATACCGAAGCAGTGTTAGTTCTGGGTCTCAAATCAGGCTTTTGATCTCCAGTATCAAACTTTTGTCTCTTTTGTGATTTTTTAAATCCACCTGCCGCCCCCCAAGGATCAATTATAAACTTTCACAAACTTACCAAAGAGTGAAAGGATGCCACAGAAAGTCCAGACAATCAAGGACATTCCCACGCTGCCTGTGTTCTGGAGGATTCCTTTGGGAGAGATGAAGATTCCTGCTCCAATGATAGTGCCAATTATAATAGAAATCCCTCTCAGTAAAGTTACTTTCTTCTTCAAAACCACTTTGTCTCCCTCGGCTGCCTTGGTCTTGCACTTGGAGGGCAACTTGCCGTTAGATTGCTCCTGCAGGTAGCTGCCATTACAGACTACCGGTCCGGGAGGCTTCCTAAACATGCTTCAGTGCTACCAGCACTCTCCAAGAATGAATGTTTTGTAAAACTCTCCAGCAGGCACTTTCGTTCCTCTCTCTGCCTTTGTCTAGCTAATTGCTTCTACACACACAGAGAGAGAGAGACATTCACTGCCTGTAGCCTTTCAACCCACCTGTGCCAACAGGTATAAAATTCTTCAGGTGTCTTTTACTTTTCACTGCTATCTCAGTGCTACAGGAACACCTGCCCTTTCACACACAGCTACTACCTTGGTGCTGTTCTTTCACTGGAAGCCAGCTCAGCTTCCGCATGGTCTTGTATATAAGCTCCTGTCATACCAAGTTACTCTTGCTGAGTGATGATGATGCAAATTCTCCAGGTTTGCATCAGCCATAGGAGAGCGCTCTGCTTCTGGCATTACTCAGCACTTTTCCCCGTCACGGTAGCAGGATGTTGCACAACTCACATGAGTCCCATTCAACAAAGGCAGGAGTCCTAAGTGATTTCTAGTAAGCAACTTACTATATCAGCACACGCCCAAATATTTAAAGAGACTCCTAATGAGAAGCAAATGCCTGTTTTCAAAATACAGAGTGGGGAGGAAACAGAGCAAAGATAATGTGGCAGTTTTTGTTTCTTTCCAAATACTTTTTTTCCCCCACCCCAGCTATTATATGGCAACATAGATTGTATGCATTCTTTACTATTTTTGGTTTGGACCTAATTCAATTGTATTTTTGTTTGGACCCAATTCAACATTTTGCATAAAGAGCATGTACATTCACATTCAAGAGCACATGCTGGCCTCTTTGGTTGCCCCATGTTGCCTAGCAACGCAGTCAGTTCCAGCAAGTTGTGTCTATGCTCCTATAGTTCCATGATTTTAACATTAATTTTCTTCCTGGAATTAATCCCTCCCCCCCGATCCTTCAATAATGAAAAGACTAAGTTGTTGTTGATCTCACACCAGTGGCTGTTGGCAATTATAGTCTCTTTTTGTAAGTATTGTCAGAGTGGAGACAGCATTCCTGAATGCAGTGGAAGCAGGATCCTTGTGCTCTTTCAAGCATATTTGTCCTAAGCATAATAACAATCCTGTGGTCTGAGCTGCTAGAAAGGCAGAATTGAAGAGGGGCCATGAAGCACACAAAAGAACAGCACACAAAAGAAAATGAACACAGCTATACTATCATGGTACTATGACTTGAGGGCAGGGTGACTCAGCACCCAGGCATCACATTTGATAACAGGACCCTGTACGGTGCATTTCTCACCAATGGTCAATGACATTTGGTTCCTGAACATTTGAAATGGCCTTAAGGATTGGTTGCAGATGTAAGTGGTTGGGCGCCGGTAGGCAAGGAGTTGGGCTGGATCCTTAGTCTAAGTGGATGGGGGTTGGGGGGCCCCACTCCAAAAAATCAGGGTATCCCGTTTAAGGGTTCGAGGGGTTGCATCTGTCCAGACACCCCAGAAGGGGCCATGGCACCCCAATGATGATCTTGGGGCAGTCACCCCAATTTGATGTACTTCATAGCATGGGCAGCTGCCCCCATCAATAAAAAAAAATACAAATCAATACAAATCTGAGGTTCTGCCCCCCCCAGCAAAAATTCTGGCTATGTCCATGCTTCATAGGTGTGATCCTTAACCTTGGTTATCCCTGCCAATATAATCAGCCAGCAGATGGGACAGTTGATTCAGGATACACACCCAATATCTTCGCCAAAGTTCACTGACATCCATCATCAATAAAGTTGTGGCCTGCTTAAAATCCCAGTTGGTTGTCCTGTGGTTATTGCAACCATATCACACCTTGACCCCACCACCCACAGCTGCACTGCACCTGGACCCACAAGAGTCATAAGACAGCCTAGCTTCTATTATGACTAGGGTTTGACAGTAGGATTTTAGCCCACTGGTAGAAACGGGAAGACAATGGTTGAACAGTTTCTATAGTTTGCTTCCAAACTTTCCACATCTGATTTTATAAAAGTGCTTCCAGTTGTTAAAGTCACAGAGCATCTACTACTCCTAACACTGGGAAGAAGCAGTTTTTTAAAGTGCGTATCTTAACTGTGGAGAAAGTAAAAGTGTGTGTGTTTGTATAGAGAGAGTACTTGGGCAGGTTCACATTACTGTGTAGTTGTTACCTATACTTAGCCTAGAAGTAGGAGGTGAGACTAAGTTTGGTTTTCTTGTACAGTATCTAGAAATTAGCTCAAGCCCAGACATGAATTACGATCACTTGATTTCCTGCGTCTTGTGTTGCATCATTTACAAAAAGTTTTATCTTTGATGCAATCACAAATAAGTCATTGTTTGTGAACTCTGTGAGTCATATAACCTCAAAGGTAGGGATGACTATTACCCTGGTTTAAAGTGTTCCTTTAACATTTGCATTGATGTAATATGTAATTCTGCTTTCCAGTCTGCTTCTGAAGCAAGGAATTCATGGTTGCTAGCTGAAAGGTTAGCAGGAACAATTCCTAAAGCAGCTAATCCATAAAGAAGAACAAACAGTTCACCGCAAAATAATTGATCTCTGGCATATAAAAGTGTAACAGTCCAGCAAATTTAGCAAGCTTTACTCATGTGTGTGCAGGCATGCAATGGAGTGTTTCAAGGGAGACAGAGAAATGATGGGCTTTCCTTAGTGCTATAATCCTAAATGGGAAATGAAGGATTCATTACCATATGAAAGAGGTACAGACTTGTGTCCTAGGACTGCTGGTGCTAATCATTCAAGAAAAGGCAGATATTGTGCCTACATAATAATCAAGCACCGTACTAAGCAGATATGCAGCTGCTTTGGAAAGGTCAGAGAGATCTAACAATGCAATAGAAAACAGAGTGAGGAACTATGCATGCTGGATTATGATGGGAGGGGAAGGGTTGTGAGCAAATGCATCACACTAATTCCTTACAGAGTTTGATCCTCCAATTGTATCAATTTTTCTTCCTCTACTACCATTCTTGCTGGAAGAAGTCTTATTGAACCTCAGCTTTCACACTTCTTGACCTTTGTGATTAATAATGGACAAGCTGAGCTTCACGGGAGCCACTGCCTTAAAAGTACCAGTGCCAGCACTACAGTGGTACCTCAGGTTACATATGCTTCAGGTTACAGACTCCACTAACCCAGAAATAGTGCTTCAGGTTAAGAACTTTGCTTCAGGATGAGAACAGAAATTGTGCTCCGGCGGCGCGGCGGCAGCAGGAGGCCCCATTAGCTAAAGTGGTGCTTCAGGTTAAGAACAGTTTCAGGTTAAGAACGGACCTCCGGAACGAATTAAGTACTGAACCCGAGGTACCACTGTATACCATTTGCATGCAGCCACATATAAGGGGACCCAAAGGCACTATCACTTTGCATGTGGCCCTGCATTTGTAGTAAAATGCAAAAGGTATGAAGCTTTAGGTGGTAAAAATGGCCAACCCTAAAACAAATTTGATCATACGCTTTGGTGCTATTTCTGGTGTTGGAATAAGTGCACAAGTGGAAAAGTTTAAGGGACTCTTTACCAAAAGGATGAAGCATTGAGGAAGAACATGAATGACATGGAAATCATGACTTGGATTTTTTCCAGTCTCTTCCAAACATACGTGGGAAGTGATGGGAATGCTCTGAGCAAAAAAACTTTATCCATGTACAATCTAATGGAACATAATGTACAATTAAATTGATTGTTAAGCTGTGGTGTTATGTTAGCTATGATGCAACTCTGCAGCTAAATTGCAACCAACAACCCACAATAGGAAGTACGAAGCCACCCTTTCTGTAAGATATTCCACAGCATCTGCTAGGACATTTCCAAATCAGCCTCAGCTACCAGAAACTGGTAATCCTACCTTTGAGAAGCTTTTTTAAATAAAAAATAAGTGGGGTTCTTTTTATTTGTTTACATGCGGTATTATGGTATTTGCCATTTCTTCTTTAAGGTGGTGTTAACTTTTTACAAAAAGAGAATCTAGGACTTAAGTCCTCTCTAGACAACAAACTCCATTCTAAATAAAGTTAGTTGTACCTAAGTTTCATTAACCTCAACAGTATGTGAGAATCTGTCTTTGGACTCAAGACTCTAGACAGTGTCCCAAGCCTGAAAGACAAGCACATAATATTTGTCCAGAAGACAAATTACGCTTTCCATCAGGGTATGGGGAGGAAATCAACCTGCTGGCTGCCATGTTTCATATATTTTATTTGTTTGTTTCAGAGTATTTATACTGTTGGTATTAGTACAGTGGTACCTTGGCTTACAAACTTAATCTGTTCCAGAAGTCCAGTCTTAAACCAAAGTGTGCTTGAACCAAGGCGTGCTTTCCCATAGCAGCGGGGGACTCAATTTACAAATGGAACACACTCAACAGGAAGCAAAACACCTACTTCTGGGTTTGCAGTGTTCTTAATCCAAGTTGTTCAAAAACTAAGCTGTTCTTAAACCAAGGTACCACTGTATATAGTTTCCCTGTTCACCACCACCAGAAGAATTTGTTGAACATATTACATCCTGTGGACACTTGGATTCCCCTTGTGCTGAGGGTACTGCACTGACTCCTCTTGACCTACAGGCCTTGAATGTAATAAAACCTCAAAGCAGTTTTGATGATGTCTTCTGAATACAACCCACGCATTTACAAGCTGCATGTGCAATTGCCCACTAAATGTGATTTATTTGTAAATTACATATCATGCAGCCAGCTTAATTACATATGAATCTATTGTAGCAATTGGGAATATCCAAAAACAGGGGTAAAGCCTTCTAACAGCCCACACTTTAAATATCAAAAAAAAAATCTGAAAGAGGCAGGACCAGATTAAGACCTATGTTATTAATGTCCTGTAGCATTACCAAAGAAAGGTATATTATTCTAACAGAACTGAAAATAGTAATAGTAAACTTTTATATTTGCATACATACTGGTAAATAGGTGAGGATGCAACTAAAAACAAAGAAACTAAAATATATAACTTGCAATAAGCATACTTGTATACTATAAGATACCTTATGACTTCTTACTTAGCATACATGAACAATTTTAATGTACAGCAACTCAAGAGCAGTTATACACTGAGAGTAGTATTCAACTAAATTTCACGCAGAGTAGACTCACTGAAATTAGTAGACCTAAATTAGTCGTGTTCATCAATAACTAAGTAAACTTAGGTTGTGTAAACATGACCATTTACTGCGCTTTCACCACTGGCTTTTGAATCAGTGTACAAATGTTATCATGCACGACGTAGAGCCATCCTTTTGTTTCTTGAGAAATACTATTGCTTAGTGTACTTTCCCTCAAACCAGCTTCATTTCAAAAGGAAAACTGAGGCCACATTCACTTTGCCATTAAGCTGA